CTCAGGCTCACTCACTAAAGCTACTATGTAGTGTTGACTAGTATAGGTATACTTTACACTTCAGTCTCATTGCTACAAATTTTAAGTTATATCCAATATTCTAATTGTCTTAATATTACTTTGCAACTTTTCTTTCTAGGGAGTGAAAATCATTTTTTATAAGTTTATTTTTGTTTTATTTAATTCATCTGTTTTCTCTGTAAACCATGCAAGAGTGAAATCTTGTAGTGTTTGTCTTTTTTTGGCACACTTATTTCACAAAGCATAATACACCTACAGGGTATCAAAATCTTAAGAGTGTGAGGTTGTTTGTTTTACTATTGTTTTTTTATAGCTTGTATTGAAGAAAGTAGAGATAATGACTTTTTTTATCATAAGTAGAATAGGCATTTTGTTTGATTTCATTATTAAAAATATCCAGTCTCTTAAGGAAATCCTTCATGGGTGGGTAGAAGTTATTAATTGAAATTTCTTTATAATTTATATTTTTGTATGTTTGAATTACGTATTCCTACACCTTATCAGTTGTGGGGTGGAGGAAAGAAAATTTATGTTTCTTTAAATTGATAAAAACAATATATGAATTTTTTTATTTTTAAAGATTTATTTATGCACACAAGAACTGGGGTGTAAGCCAGGGGTGTGGGGGGTGAGAGGATTCACCAGAGACAGTGGGGAGCAAAACAGGAGGATCTTCTGAAATATACTGCTGAGGGGAGCAGCGGGCAAGACAGGAGAGGTCTGCTGCGCCATGTGGGTTGCTCCCTGGCTGGCCAGGGATCGAACTCATGCTGCAGTGGCTGCCAATTTCCAGACAGCACTGTCTTTAACCCCTGCACCACTAGGGAGGCCCAGTATACTAATTTAAACATTAAAAAAAAAAGGAAAGCATTTTCTTCCTGGGTCTAAAGTTAATACTTACATAGAAAAGACAAAACTTTAAAAAAACAAAACCATAAATCATTCCAAATTTTATCTGTAGTAGACATTATTTGCTGCTTAATATTTTGGTGACTATTCTTTCAGATGTATGTGTGTTTGTGTGTCTAGCAAATCTAACATACAATTTTATGAGTATGCATTATTTTATATATATGTAATTCAATAATTTTCTCAACATGTTTTTCACATGTATCAAATATGTACACACAGATATTTGTATGTAATTATATAAGTAGAATTGTGTATTACATGATCTGCATTTTTTCACTCAACAGTAGGTCACAAAGAGTTTTTCATGCCCTTGAATACAGGTGTACATCCTCCTTTTAATGTCTGTGGACTATATCTCTTTGTAGATATACCTGATTGATTGTGATCAGATGGCAGCAGTGGCTCTCAAGTGGGCTTTGGCTCTTGGATACTCTGGACCGGCGACCCTGTGTAACCTCCTTTTGGGGGCACCAAGAAGTATTTGGGAGTTAAGTGGCTTTTCTTGGCAGACCTGGTTTTGTCTGGCAATGTCTAGAAGTAGTGCCAGTGAGGAGAGATCTTCCAGTAATAGAGCCTTTGTGAAGTGTGGGCTTGACATCTGAAGTGACAGGAATGGTCAAAGCTTTAAAGTGGAAGGGAATTAGAGAAGTATTGGGATTGAATTGACAGACAAAATAATGGAAACAGGTAAACATATTTGGTTCCGATGAGCAGAGCAAAGCAGAAAATAGAGGAGAACCTTATCAATTGTGGGGTAGAAAGGAAGTTTTTTATGTTCAGTTGGGTATGGAGATGGACATCTAACCTATATACCATCATGGATTGGGTATTGATTGTGGACATTGCCTGAAATGTTACTAGATATATAGAGCTTAAAAAATAAATAGACATTTGTACTTTAATCTCACAATTTTGAGAAAGTGGAAAGCAGGTAGTTAGGAAGTTACTATCTAGTTTTCTTACTTTTTCTTTTTTAAGAGAAGGAAAGCATTCTGTTTGTGCTTTGTGTAGTCTGTCCTTACTAAAATCCTTACCTCCCTCCACCCAACACGAGGATGCAAGGATACTCAGTCCAGAGCATTGTTACCAGTATGACAGAAGCCTGAGATATCATGACATTGTACACAGCCTCTAATGTGGGAGAAGATAAAGCTAGAGAGATAGTCAAGTGAAGTTAGACTTTATCCCAAAGATTTTCTAATGGGTAATTTAATATTAGCCAAATCAGGGAAAGATTATCTGGCAAGTGAGAGGAGACGAGATTCCAGTTGAGAAATCAGTTTACAATTGCTAAAATAATATAGTTGGAAGTGCCATGGGCACGGATGCTGAAACTAAGTTGTTAAAAATCAAAATGAAAATAAGAATAAAAGTATAGATGCAACAAGACATGTGAGTAATTTTGTGTATATAGTAAAGAAGAGGAAAGAATCAGGATCCCTTCCAGATAATGTTTTGGGGGATTTTAGAAGATGCCAGTGGCCATTTGAGGAGAAACTGATTTAAGAAGGAGTCACAATGAGTTTGATGTTTGAACTTGAGTTTGAATTGATGAGATGTCCAGAAAGATGTATTCCTTAGGTGGTAGTTGGTATTATTATTATATATATATTTCTTTTGCATAGAAGAACTGGGGTGTAGGCTAGAGGTGTTTGGGGGGTGCGGTGAGAGGATTTACCTCTCAGAGACAGAGTGGGGAGTAGAACAGATGGATTTACTTAAGTATACTGCTAAGGGGAACAGTGGGTGAGACAGAAGGGATAAGCTGTGCTATATATGAGTAAGCTGTCTAGCCCGTGATCAAACTCAGGCTGTAGGGGTAATAGCTCTGAGACTTAACCCCTAGGCTACCAAGGAGGCCCCTGAAAGTGATAATTGGATCTGGAGTTCAGAATAAGTGTTTGTAGTCAAGGATTGAGAGTCATCAACATTTAATTGTTTGAAATTATGGGAGTAGATGTATATAATCTTAGGGATTCAAGAAGAAAAATGTGGCGGTCAAAGCATGAACTTTTGGGAGTAGGACAGAAAAAGAGCTGATACAGAAGATGGAGAGGGCACGGTGTGAAAAGAATCTACTGAATTTGTCAGATATTGGCTATTGGTGATGATTGGTAATGGGATTTCAGTGATGTACAATGAGTAAAAGCCAGATTGTGAATAATTCTGTTTATCTTACTGAATTTGTGCATTGAGTTATAAATTTAAATTTTTTATTAAAATTAAATGCTTGTAAGACACAGATAAATTTAGAGAATTTAATAACTGACTTTTGTATCCACTGTGCTTTTTTTTTTTTTTAAACGTAAATGACTTTAAGTTATAGGATAGGACTCAGGAAGTTACCCAAAAAATAGGGGCTTCCCTGGTGGTGCAAGAGGTTAAGCATAGCACTGTGAAGCTATCCAGGGCCTCTGCAGCACAAGTTCAATTCCCAGCCGCCAGGGAGCAACCCACATGGCGCAGCAGACCGCTCCTGTCTCGCCCACTGCTCCCCTCAGCAGTGTATTTCAGTAGATCCACCTGTTCTGCTCCCTACTTTGTCGCTGGTGAATCCTCTCACCTCCCACACCTCTGGCCTGTGCCCCAGTTCTTGTATGCATATAAATAAATAAATCTTTAAAAAAAAAGTTACAAAAATGTTTAAAAAAAAATAGTATAGACAGGGTCTCCTTTGTGGACTTCAGCTCAGTTTCCTACAATCAAGTTCTGGACTAGTGGAAATGATAATGTTTGGCGATGGATAAGAGAACAGTGCAGGTATTGTAAGTTGCGATTTCATACTCCTCCACAGTGAAAGTCCGGAGTTTTGAGCCTCATTGGATCCTTTATCCAATGTGAGCAGGCCTGCTTCTGAGGGCGTATGGGTGGAACTTTTCCAGCTCCCTTTTCACTTAATTGAGCAAGCAGCCCTTTAGAAAATTTTTTTGGCTCATAATAAGAATTATACTTCCAGCTCTTCCCTGAAATAGGCTCCTAATCAGATTTATTTTGCTTTGTTGCTTAAATCAGAAGTCTAATTAACTGTTTCTTAATTTTATTCTTGGCTTTGTTTCACAGAAAGGGTTTGAGGTCAGATTATATTACTCATTAAAAATATGATTTATATCTTAAATGTATAATACACGATTGTGGTATGAAATTGAAAAGGTCAAAAAGAGTATATGCATCTTCTTTTGCCCTGTTTCCTACCGCTCCACCCAGTTTGCCTTCACAGATTCTACTAGTTAGCAGACTCTTACGTATATTAGAAGTAGACTATACACTAATTCATTCTTTAAGAGCAATTTTAAACTTTAGTGTTTATAATTTAATTGTGTAACCAATATTTGAGATTTTTTCCATCTGTTTGACAAGTAGCAATTGTATTTTCTTATTCTGATGCCTTTGGAGGAAGAAAATTACACTAATTATATGTTACATGTATGTTTTCATTATGTGAATGGATTGTTGTGTTTGAATTTTTGTTCATAAGCCCCTCAAAATGTGACAGAATATGACAAAACAGTGTAAAATGTTTATTAGAAAGCTTTAAGTTACTATGTGGAATGTTAATGGAACATTAATCTTGTTTTGGGGAGACAGTCGAAATTATATTTTTAGGATACTGAATTTTTTTTTAACTTTTCCCTTGCCATATTGGTACTAGAGGTCTTAAAGTTCAGCTCTAGTGTCACTCTCCATTGCTTGGAGTGATGGTCTTCAAGAAGGGGTGCTTGCATCATTGAATGTGGGAAGAAAATATTAAAACATGTATTTATGCATTTAAGCTTTACTAATACTTGATGTGTGCATTGATTTTGGTACTATCATTGGCTGTATAAGTCATTCAGATCCTGGAATCTTACTCAAATGCAGTGTGGATATACTTAAAAATTGTTCCACTTACTAACGAGAACATGCTGTTTTCAAAGAATTGAATGAAGGAGCTGTCAAAGATGAAGCCCTTTCTTTTAGGTTCCTTAGCCACAGTTTAGACCATTGATAGCCTAACTGCAGCTTCGTAAAATTCACTGACATGGAACCAAGAAATGGAAGCCTATGACCTAATATGTTTTCTTCCTTAGATCAACCTCTCCACTTCTCCTACACCTGCACAGTTAATAAGCCGTTCCCAGGCTTCCAGTTCTACCAGCGGCAGTATTACCCAACAGACTATGTTACTAGGGAGTACCTCCCCTACCCTAACGGCAAGCCAAGCTCAAATGTATCTCCGAGCTCAAATGGTAAGATAAGAGCTACCAAATGTTTTCAGTGTTTAAGGACTTGAGAGAGATCAAAATGTTTCTTGTCTTGATGCAATAAGTGGTGTTTTTAATATTGAAGAATGTTTAACAAATTTTTTATGTCTGTGCTTAGAGCATATACATTTGTGTGATGAAAAATTCTGCTTTTAATTGGTAAATCCTCTTGAAGTATCAAATAGTAACTTGCAAGATTGGGAAGCTAACAGGTTCTCTAACATAGGAGTGATTTTTTTTTTAATATACAATTTCATGCCTTTTTCAGATTTTTAACATCTCTGAAATTAGATATGTTTTATAATTGATGGCTTCTTATAATTGGCACTATAGTGATACATGAAATATTATAATACTTTGACATTTAAGATTTGATGAAATAGTAAGAAATGTTGAAAACTTGGTTGATAACTATAAATTGGAATTTATATTATAGGATTTTCTGAAATCTGGATAGGAGTGTCTGGTACTTATCCAGATGAGTCCTCTTAGGTTTGATTGTACCCATCTCACATTTTATTTTAGAAAGGTGATTTGTATTCTTAAACTCACATTGATGTTGTGTTATATACGAATGTTAATTTGTATTTTCTATATTTGAGTACCTACCTACTGATTTCCAAATTTAACTGTTGAACTTCTTCAAGAAATATAGAAATTGTTTGACATTTATTTGATTGGTGTCTTTACAGGAAGCTATACAAGAGTGCTTTGACCCTAAAATGCATATATGTATATGTATGTATGTATATATATGTATATACATATATGTGTGTATGTATACACATATATTCACTTTTTTTGTCCAGTGAACTGAATATTTACCTGAATCCCCAGTTCGCCACTAAAATTGCAAGGACAGTTTCCCATAGTATTTCTAATGGGAAACAATGACATCCACCTTTTATTTATGGATTACTCAGTGGACCTTACCATATTTCTGGGTTTTTTCCCCATGAGATTTTAGTTAACTAATAATATACTTCAAAATTGTGCTGAACTGTTTGATATGGTTGTTATTTGACTGTTTTAACTTCTAAAACTGACAGATTCATATGGTCCGAGCCATACGAAACTTTAGATTTAGTGCTTTTAACTGTTTGTACTGGAAATTACCTTCTACTGAAAGTTATACTTTGTTGTTTAATTCACTTAAATTTAGTGTACTAAAGTTCTAAAGTTTAAAAGAACACTTAATTTTAAACAGGAATAGTTTTTGAGGATCCAAGTAATTCTTAGTGCAACTTTGAAATAGACTGTTTACACATTTTTGGAACAATTGTCATAATTTACTGTAATGGATTCAGTAATCTTTGTGTCACTTGTATTGCCTTTTAAAATTAATGGCATTCTATTTCAATATTAACAGAAAGCATTTAAAAAGAGATGGTGACAATAAGTACATCAAGTATGTTCTTCCTTTTTTTTTAATGTGAAACTTTTTTATAGGCTGTTTTGTTGTTAAATTTTGACATGTTATGGCATTTACATTTAGAATGAATATTTCTTTACAAGTAGTTTGAAAATCAAGAGCAACCTAGATTTGTACTGTAGATCCTAGGTAGCTGAGTGAAACATTACAATGTGGTATGTGGCATAGTTATCTTTTGTGGTAAAGAGGACTGAAAAGGCTTTTTGGTGTTTTGGTTTTTTTTTTCCTCATGTTTCACACAGAAGTTTACTTCGTTTTCAAGAGTAGTGACTATGGTTGTCTATTTTAACTTCCATTTTAGGCCTCCTGCCACAGTAATTCCAAATTGGGAAAATTTTAAGTATACTAGCTTATTTGGGGCAAAATTTGTTTATGAGGATTTCATATTACCAATATGCATTTTCTTTTTTTGAGCACTGATTTTTTTTCCTACTCATCAGAATCATGTGCTGTTTGAAAAATGTTTATGATTTTTTTTTAGTTCTTTATTATCAGAAATTTCTTTGTCATGTAAAACCTTTTGCTTAGAAAACAATCCTAAACTGCATTGTCTTTCTGTCACAAATTCAGTCTCTCTTGCCTGCTATACATTGTGTGTGGGACATGTTCTTTTGTCTTAGGGTATATTTTTGGTTTTTCTGTCTGTACAGCTGATTTTCACACCCGCTACCACTGTGGCTGCTGTACAGTCTGACATTCCTGTTGTCTCGTCGTCATCGTCATCTTCCTGTCAGTCTGCAGCTACTCAGGTGAGCTTGGCTAGCTTCATAAAGTGGTCTTTGAGGTCTGGATTTCAGGTTAAAGATAATCATACCTTTGTGTTTAAGTTACTGATGGTTTAAGTGCTTTGTCATGTGTTCGAGACTTAATAAAATAAAATGAAAGCTTCAAGAAAGGTTTTTTGTACTATAGAAATTATATCGCCATTTGACCACAGATATTCAGATTGATGTTAGTGAAATTTAATAGCTTTTGCTAATGATGCCATATGTTTAGTTTTATTATAAAGCAGACTAAATTCTCTTAAATGAAATGTATTCTTTTGTGTAGGTTCTGTTGCAATCAGTTATTTAGTGATAAGTCAAAATGGGTTTTAAGTTTAAAAATAAATTTGATAAATTTTATATTAAAAAAATGGAATATAATATTGCTTTTGTACAAGGAAAAAAAAAATGACCGTAACTTCTCACCATTCACAGAAATAAACTAGAAATAAAATGTAAGCCTAAAGGAAAAAGTCAAAACTATAAAACTTCTAGAAGAAAACATAGAAGTTATCTTTGCAACTCTAGGATAGGTAAGGCTTTCTTAGGTAGGACACAAAAACCACAAACCTTAGAAGAAAATAATGACATATTGGACCAGCAAAATTACAAACTGTTCTTTGAAAAAAAATGAAGAGGTAAACCCTAGACTTAGGAAAAATATTCATGATATATGTATTTATATGCAGAATATGCAGAGTATGTTTATAATTCAATATCAACAGCAGTTTAATTAAAATGGATAAAGGCTTTGACTACTTTCCAAAAGAAGATATACAAATATCAATAAGCATATGAAAAAATGCTCAACATCATTAATCTTAATAGAAATACAAATCAAAACCACAATGAATATCACTGCACTTTCACTAGAATGACTTAAATGAAGGAGACAATTAATACCATGTGTTGGCAAGAATATAGAGCAAACATACTTTCACACATTTCTGGTAAGAGAGTAAAATGTACAACCACTTTGGAAAACTGTCAGTTCAATGTAAAGAGGTTTATCCTGAGAGATTTTAAAACATATCCATATGAAGATTTGTGTAAACAAATGGTTCTTAGCAGCTTTATTTAGAATCATTCCAAACTTTTAACAACCAGCTCTCTTAACCAGTGATTGGATAGGCAAATTAAGGTATAGTAATAGAGTAGAATACTACTCAGAAATTAAGTAGAACTGACTACTGATACATCGCAGAAACATTATAATTAGTGAAAGAAGCCAGAACACCAGAGTGCATACTCTGAGTACATTTATGTGACTGATAGTGGAAAAAAAGTCAAATTGGTCATACTTGTGAAGATTAACTGGGAAGGTGCATAAGTTTTTGGCTGATGGAAATTCTCTATCTTGATTGGGATAGTGGTAACGTGGTTTATGCATTTTCCAAAACTCATTGAACTGGCTAATTCATTTTATTGTATATAAATTACACCTCAGTAAAGTTTATGAAAGTGAATTAAATTGTGTAAATTTTAAATAAAACAGTTATATAGAATATTATTTCTTTGTATGATAGCAATTGTCCATAGTGTTTTAGACTCATGGCAGAAATGGTATATATAGGGTTATCCTTTATTAATCATTTCAGTAATCTACTGCTAAGTAAATAGTGAGACAGTAATGATATTCTTTGGTACTTCTCATAGAACTCTTGTATATTATTTTATTTAAATATAAAGACCAGTTTTCATAAATCTGTATGTAAAGATGGTGATCAGCTAAACTTAAGAGTTCTCCTCTTGTGTGCTGTGATCTTCCACAATTCCTTAATTTTTTTTTGGACAAATTTCCATCTTTACAAAATGAAACCTTTACTTTGTTAACTTTGAGGGTTTTTTAGCCCTACATTTTTTTTATCTCAGTAGAACAAATTTGTTGTAATTATCTTCCTTTTTTTAAATTTTTTTTTATAAAACCTAATAGAGCTTAGAAAACTCAACTTTCAGAATATTTTAAATTCTATTTTTTTATTTGTACTTGACTTTGCTCCAACTAAAATCTTAATTGACTTACACAATACTACAACAAAAAGAGATAAATTGGAAAGCATGCAAGAAAAAAAGCACAAATAATAGGAATGGCATGGAGCTGAGTGAAGTAGCTAGTAGTGAAAAGAGAAATGCAACAACTACAAGGATTCATGATTGCCAGGGTAAAACAAACCAGTTGTTAGGGAATAAAACAAACATGTTCTCTAGAGCACATCTGTCTTGTGGTTCTCATGGAGCGTCTTTAGTAGCATCTCTAATGTGAAATAGTTGAAGAAACTTATAAAAATAGTTCTTCAGGGTTCAGTTTGATGTGATACAGATATATGGTTCTGTGGTATTCTAATTTATTTCAAGGATGGAACTTGGCGTGAATTGAGCGTTAGGAATTTGTCTACAAATGTTGTTTTTCTTTGCTGTGCTTTTGAAATGGCAGTAAATGAGACTGTAGTGATAGATGGTGCTAATATTTTTAATATATCAGTGGTAATTTTCCTCAAATTTAGTGGTGAGTTTTGAAAACTTGGTGCTTCATTTTAAACTAATATTTGCAATTTTAAAAACAAGTTGTTTGTATTTGAGAAATGCTAGATTTAAAGTTTTATTTTACAGAAGTTACAGAAGTCTGTATAATTAAATTTTTACTTACTGTTAAACTTTATTTACAGCTTATAGTCAAAAAATAAGAAATTTGTTCTGTCTTACATTTACTAAGTATTTAAAATGCTCTATTTGTTTTACCCACTATGCCAAAAGGAAAAAAAAATTGACTTTTAGAAAGATAAATTAGCACTATTTTTTTTAACATTTATTTTACATATTTAGGAATACAAGAGCTGGAATGTAGGCCAGAGGTGTTGTGGGGGGTGTTGAGAGGATTCACCAGAGAGAGTGGGGAGCAAAACAGGCAGACTGAAATACGCTGCTGAGGGGAGCAGCAGGTGAGACAGGAGAGGTCTGCTTAGAGATGGAATTCACATTGCAGATAGCTTCATAGTGCTGAGACTTAACCCTTTGTGCCTTCAGGGAGGCCCTTTTTTTCACTAATGTTAATAGAAAAGTAAGAAATCTTGCTTAACAAGGTTATCTGGGGAATGCTTTTAGAATAGTGGGGGAAAAAATCTCCATTTAAAAGTCAGTTACTCAGTTCTGCTGCCAGCAATGTGACATTAACTCTTGGTTTCCTCATGTGCAAAGGGATTCTATGGTAATTCATGCAATGTTATTTAGATACAAATTTAGATACTGATGTGAGAATATTTGGGTAATGTACTGTAAAAATGTGGGATGTAGAATGGAATAATACTCAGCAATCAAAAAGATAAACTCATGCCATTCACAGCAACATGGATGGGGCTAGAAGGAATTATGCTCAGTGAAATAAGTCAGAAAGAAAAAGAAAAATATTGGATGGTTTTATTTATAGCAGGAATATAGGGGAACCAAATAAGATATTAGTGTAAAAAATTAATAACAATACAAAACACAACAAAACAAAAACAGACAATTATAAATCAGAGACATCCTGCAGGGGAGGAGGAGGGAGAGGGATCAGAGGGAGAGAGGGAGGACCACAGGGGACTGTGGTGATGGTGCACGGGTGCATTGGTGAAGGAAATTCTATGGGGACTACACCTGAGGAGGTGGGAGGAAGCAAATACTGTTTAAAAATGAACAATGATGTAAAAAAAAAAAAAAAAAGTGGGATGTGGAAAAGCCAGTATGCTTCATGTGAAACCTAGACTTTCAAAAGTTAGAAAGTTTCCATAATTTGATCACAGGAGAAGTACAGATGAAATGGAAATTGGACATTAGAGTGCCTAATGGAAAATATGGGTTCTCTTCAAAAGTGAACTCTGTCAAGGAAATCTGCATATATGATCTTTCTGTTAAGAGCTAAAATAACTTTGTAATATAGGAGTAGCATTTACATGTTTGAAATGTATTGTAAATACTTAGGCCAAGATGATCATAGGTAATCTAGGCACATTCTAAAATTTATATATGTGTATAAGTGATACAGAGCATGTATTATGTGTCCATATATTTTCTTACAAAATTCTAGAAAATAAAAGGAAAACTAGAAAAAGTAAATTATTTTCTAGAAATGAACTACTGCAGGTCTTAGGATTCATTATGTCAAATCTTTATTTACTGTGAATATACTTTTAATTTGAAGGAAGATTTTCAAGTTTTTCAGATTTTTATAATGCGATCTTTGGCTATGATTTTATATAGTCCTTTTCAGGTCATGCATGGCAGATGTTAAATTTTGCACTGTTTTTCTTTGCTCCTTGAGAAATTTTAATGTGCCTCCACTAAATATTTGTTGAGATTTTTTTTGTTGTTAAATATCAACAGATTTTAATAATAGCTTAAGAAAACTGAAGACTAAATACTTGCCTCCCACAAGCCCTGTGATTATGTATTTCAGAATCATCTATAGAAAATTACCTTAGACTGGAGGTTCTGTTATGTTTGTAGCATTGAACTGTGGGGAGTGTAAAAATGACTTCAGAGATGAAGCCCACCATCCAATATCAGTATTTGCAGATATTATTAATTCTAAAATAAGCTAAACATTTGTCAGTGCTATTTGATCTAAATTCTATGGGAAATGTGTTATAGAGGGTAGGATAAATTATTTCTAACCAGGGACTATGGGGAGTTTTCTTATGGAGTATCAGTGGGATTTTTACTGAAGACGGGTTGGGCTTCAGGGGACAACTTTGAAGAATGGCATTTTAGGCAAGAAAACTTGAAGAAGGGCTCTAAATGAAAGGAAGTACAAGGTACATTGGAGAAGGTTAAGCAAAACAATTTGGCTAGAATATCAGTATTTGTGGATTGGTGTAGTGAGTAGATAGTGGGGCTCAAAGTGGTTTTGGGTGTAGTCTTGGAGGTCTTTGAGTAGCAAATTGAGAAATTTGGATTTTAGCTTATTTTATTTTTGTATTAAATTTCCACAATACAGTGGCTATTACTCCACTTATATGGCTAAGAATAATGAGAACACGCTGTATATGGTCTCACCTAGAAAATTATTTTGGTAGTTTAGAATAGAACTAGTAAAAAACTGACATGAAGTAAGTGGTTGTATCCGTTGTTGGCTGAACATTGCATTTGGTCCTTGAAAGAGAAAATAACAGCTTTTGAGTGTCAGTTTAATGATCTAGTTGTAGAGACAGAACACACTTGAAAATAAAGAACATTCATAAATCATTTGCCTTGTTGCTTTAGAATCTCTTTCATTTCGTTTTTTCTCCCAGACTTCACTACCATAAATGTATACGGTATATTCATTCTCCATAGGCAGTTGGAGAGGGGTTTTCTGTCCTCTCTTTGGAGGTGTTATAATTACTCAGGTGAGAGTAATTGGGCTGATCCTTGCTACCATTCAGACTGGCAGTTTGTTTACAATAGCTGTGGGTATATACGTGAATCTTCACATAAACCATTTCAAGGTCATGTACAAGTCAGTTTTTGATATCTAGTTCTGAGTGTCCTATAACACCACCACCACCAAAATCTTACATTAAAAATGATGTTCATAGAAAAATGCCTTCCATAATTATCACAGTGGGGTAGGTGATGGACTAGTTTTCTTACTTAAAAGAAAATAATTTTTATAAGCTGGTAACTTTTGTTATTTTTTTCTGATCTTTATTAAGACAGCAATTTTGTATTTGCACTCTTAATCATGCATAGTAACTTTTGACAAGTTTATGAGGTACTTGCAACCTTCAGAGAAGGCACCTTGGGCTCTCCCTCTGTAGCTTTGTTTAAATTTTCTCCTTTACCTGGAATGCCCATTTGCTTTCTCTTTCCCTTTGGTTGTGGTCCATATGGAAACCTTAAAATGTAGTACTTTGCAGAGTAATTTCCTTGTATTCATAGTTACTTTGCAATACATATGTATATATATTCCAGTTTCATTTACTTATTGATTCTCAATGTGGTTAAATTGTCACTAAAGATAGGATTACTTAGGATGATACACTTTCCTTTCCTTCCGGATTAATAAATTGTTTCAAGTGTTTGTAGCTTTGCATATGAAAAGTGTAATATAAATGTTATTGTAAATCATTGTTCATTGTTGTTATAGGTAATGATTACCACATCAATTAATACCACATGTTTTATCCTTATTTTTGTTATGTGGTTCTTAGGTTCAGAATTTAACGTTACGCAGCCAGAAGTTGGGTGTATTATCTAGCTCACAGAATGGTCCGCCAAAAAGCACTAGTCAAACTCAGTCATTGACAATTTGTCATAATAAAACAACAGTGGCCAGTTCTAAAACCAGCCAACGAGATCCTTCTCCAGAAAGTAATAAGAAAGGAGAAAGTCCAAGTCTGGAATCGCGAAGCACAGCTGTCACCCGGACGTCAAGTATTCACCAATTAATAGCACCAGGTGGGATGAAACTTTTGTTGAAATTAGTTGCATTATTCATTTTCTTACTAGGCAGAGCAAAACAAAAGATTTTCATTACTTGAAGATGAATGATATCTTTAAAACATTTTAAAATATAAATTTCGTAAGCTAAAAAAAGACCATATCAACATTATAGCTTAAAAAAAGAAATCAAAAGGCTGCAACAGCTGAAACATTATAATGAAGTATATATTTTTTGTCAGTTGACATTTAATTAACATTTTCATTATGCGTAGGCCTCCTATTAAATTAAAAAAAAAAACCAAAACAAAAAACCTTCTACGCTTCTAGCTTAAAAGAAAGGATTTGCCTATAGTTTATTTAATATGCTTAGTGGGACCAACTAAAGCTCTTGTAAAAAAAAAATAAAGCAAATATTTTTCTGTTTAAAGTTGTCATTAGTTGGAAGAATTTATTATTTTCCAAAAATAAGGATTATGCATCATTATTTTCCTTACCATTTGCTTTCTTTCCATTTCTGATTTCATCTCTTTGAGAGGAAGGTGTCAGGGAATCAATTAAATCATTTTCATTCTCATCAACCTTTGAATTCCACTTGTACTCCCCTCTGCTTTCTACAGATAACCTTGCTTCATGGTTCTCATGCTGAAAATGTTGGGGCAATCCAGAGTGAGTTACCTTACCATCTCTTCTACTCATCTCAGAATTTCTCAATGTTGAGCTGTCTTGGTATCTAATAAGTTAAGGAATTATCTGCTTTATTCTTTAAAGTTAGCACTATTTTCTTATCACTGATTGAATCTTTTTTTACCTGCTTCTGGCCTACTCTCATAGTTATTATAGCATCTTTTTTTTCTCCCTCATACTGCATCCTTTCCTTGCTTCTCAAACATATTTAGTTCTCTCTATACTTAATATATCTGCATATGTTTTTATACCAGTATAACTAGTTTATTGAAGGTATGTGTGTGTCATGCACTGGGGTAGGCACATAACATATATTTCATTAGAAAAAATCCTTTGATCCAACCTTTTCAGGTAAGCATCTTTTTTATATCATTTTAGAACTCTGTATTGCTTTTTAGAGATTCAGTTTACATTATTGATGCATACTTTTTATGCATCTAAACCTATAAGTACAAATCTCTTTTCATATTTCCTCTGTCCTAATATTGCCAATATTCTTTGCATCATGCAATCTCAAAATCTTGGGATTGTTTGATTTCCCCTAGTGGGACATCTCTCATCATTCTGAGCTTCTATAGTATTTTAATGCTTTTTCTTTTTATTGTTATTGATATACTTATTGATCTTAACTTTCCTACAATACAGAAAACTCTTTGAGGATAGGATAATGTCAACATTTTACATTTATTAACTCTTAAATCTTTTTTCAGATTTACATTTTTATCTTTCTATCTTGACAACACTAGGTTGTACCTTATATGTCCTTGTCTATAACAGGTGCACAGTATGTTGTAGTAATAGTTGATTTTTGTTTTTTCATTGAATAGTGGACATTATGGCAAAACTTTTCGCATTTGTACTAAGTAGGTATCACTGTTTAGAATTGTTAAATCTGAATATTAGATAAGTGCAGGCTTTGTTATAATGAATAAATAAATAAATCCCTTTATAGTGTAGGTAGGTGTGAGTTCTTTTTTATAAAAATCTTTGTGCTGGATCCTGCTCTCTGTATGGCTTTATCAAAAAAACCATATAGGATTATTGTATTACATTGTCTAGAGTATTCTTACCTTAAACTAACCTCTGGCCAGTGTTGATAGAAAAAGTCAGTGTGGAGCAACAGTTGATCACTGTACTTGGAATGACTTGCTCAGGGAACAAATCCTATGATTTGTCTAGTCCTGAGGTGATTATAATGAATAATAGTAATCATTAGAATTCTCCTTCCAAAAAGAATGCTACTTCAGTGAAAGTTAAGAACTCTTGCAGTGTTAATTCAAGCAAGGAGACCTACTTCTGGATTTTCAGTCCTCCAGAACTCCCAATATCTCATTCTAAGTTCACATTTATTCTTCTCCCTTTCATTGATAGTGTGATAATGTCTTTCTCTAGTGGCCAGTATTATATGTAGGTATGAAAGACATCAATAAACTGAAGCCATCAAACAGTGATGAGACAATTGCAATTCCAAATTTAGATCTTACATGCTATTAACCAAGCTCCACCTTTCAGCATGGAGTTTGTTTCTAGTAGTCATTACCTTAACATTCTGAGATGAAGGATACTTTTTTGCCCTGACTAGATATACTTTAAATATGTATAATTTTCACACGATTCTTGTTTAGAAAGGATTTCCCTAGCTTTTCCCAATGTGTAAACATGCGTCTTTATGTAGAAGAGGCATAATGATGAGGACACTACTTATAACTCAATTTTGCTTGTGCTTACATATATTACCCTTATTGTGAGTGACTTCTCTGGAGAAAACAGATACTGTGACTTATAGGTTACTGTGGTTTTGGCCTTTTTATTTTGTGGGGGAGGAAAGTAAAACATTATTTAGGTAGCGTGGACTTTTGTTTACCATATTCTCTCTGCAAACATAGTTAGTGCCCTCTGAAATTTAGCTGGTCCCTGAAATTTCATTTCTTAGTTAACAGTGATTTTTAGTCACGCTGTGACTAAACACACTAACATGTGTTTTGGTTAACTAAATTATATTAGTGTTTTATACAAAATCTTTTCTCTTCTTGGGTCAAAATAATAGCAATTCTTCATATGCGGGAAGATGTATAGGTAATTACTTTGACTATTAGTTGGAATAATGTATAGACAGAAAATGAAAAGGATCAGGCCTTTATTTTGTGAATTATGATAAAAGCATTTTTATGATTTTGAAGTTATCTTTTATATGTTATACTTATTCAGCGATACTACTTATTTTTGCAGAATGCTTTGAAGTGGATAAAACTTTATAAAAGTTAATGTCAGTATTCTCATGACCTATAAAATTTAATAAGAATTAATTGTATAGATTCAGATTTATGAACCAATTCTTCTAGGCAGTTTTTGGGGAGAATTGGCCACTGTAGAGCTTATTTTATAAAATACAGGTTTCAAAGAAAAGTTGTTATTCATTAAGTTTGCAATTCATTTTTAACTTACAAACTTATAATCAATTTCTGATAATTATGATCTGATGTGAAAGTTTTCCTCCTTCAGGTTAATTTTTAAAATTCTATATTATTTTTCAAATAGATACTAATTGTCATTTTTTTCCTCTCACAGCTTCATATCCTCCAATTCAGCCTCATCCTCTAATAAAACATCAGCAGATTCCTCTTCATTCACCACCTCCCAAGGTTTCCCATCATCAACTGATATTACAACAGCAGCAACAGCAAATTCAGCCAATCACACTTCAAAATTCAACTCAAGACCCACCCCCATCCCAGCACTGTTTACCACTCCAAAACCATGGCCTTCCTGCAACTCCCAGTAATGCCCAGTCACAGCACTGTTCACCAATTCAGAGTCATCCCCCTTCTTTGACAATGTCTCCTAACCAGTCTCAGTCAGCACAGCAATCTGTAGTGGTATCTCCTCCGCCACCTCATTCACCTAGTCAGTCTCCTACTATAATTATTCATCCACAAGCGCTTATTCAGCCACACCCTCTTGTGTCATCAGCTCTCCAGACAGGGCCAAACTTGCAGCAGTCCACTGCTAATCAGGTGCAGCCTTCAGCACAGCTGAATCTTCCATCCCATCTTCCACTTCCCACTTCCCCTGTTGTGCACATTGGCCCAGTTCAGCAGTCCACTTTAGTGTCTCCAGGTCAGCAGATTGTTTCTCCAACATCACACCAGCAATATTCAACTCTGCAATCCTCTCCAATCCCAATTGCCACCTCTCCACAATTGTCAGCATCTCCTCCAGCTCAAATTCCACCACTACCCCTGCAGTCTATGCAGTCTTTACAAGTGCAGCCTGAAATTCTGTCCCAGGGCCAGGTTTTGGTACAGAATGCTCTGGTTTCAGAAGAGGAGCTTCCAGCTGCAGAAGCTTTGGTCCAGTTGCCATTTCAGACTCTTCCTCCTCCACAGACTGTTGCTGTAAACCTACAAGTACAGCCACCAGCACCTGTTGATCCACCAGTGGTAAGCCCTTGGAAGCTCTTTGACTTTCTTGCTGAACTGAAAGTAAAAACTATTTTCTCCCACATTCTATCATTAGATCTAAATGCCTATGAATTTGAAAAAAAAAATGAAATTTTCACCTGTCAATGTGTGACAGACATGCTGTATGGGGACAAAAAAGTTGCCATTTGTTGTAGTATGGTTGCATGCTTGATAATTTTGTGGTGGTATTAAAGTCCCTCGTTAATTTTATTACTATTTAAACAAATCCATCTGCTATCTTTACAGAGTTGATTTTTTTTCCCCAAGGGAATGCATTTGAACCAGTGTCATCTGCACAAAGTTTTTTCTCTTAAGGTGATTATCCTTCATAGATCCCTTCTGTTGGCTTGTGTGTTCTTAAACGTATGGTTTATCTAGATAACCTTTTTGGTTGTATGCATTCTGAAGTCCTGGGCCTTTAGGAGCTTCTGTTTTAAGCTGGAGGCATGCTTGTAAGATGTAATTTTTTAGTAAAATTTATTCTACAAAAAAGTTCAACTTTGCAAAAGATACTAACTGTAGACCATTTTTTAGGATGATTAGACTTGAATTTTTAAATTTTTACTGAAGGAAAATGCGTACCTAATATAGTTCTCATTTAAAACTTGAAGGCTCAGTGGATGGATTTAATACTGATGATTAAAATTTCATTGGGTGAGTGAGTATTTTGAATAATTGGTGAAATTTATCAGAATAAATGTAAAAATCATATATATTGCCTTGAAAGGAAAATTATCTTAATTTTTTTAAACATTCTCTAAAGGATTTCCTTAAATTTATAAAATAATTTACAAAAATATTGAAATGAAGTTTCTAAATATTTAGTCAGAATGATCAAATTCATAATTTATAATTGAGGAAAAAACTTTCCCAAAGGAGGTTTTATATCAAACCTTACTGAAGAGACTTGATCATGTAAAGACTAGCCATTAGCTCAGAAAGGAAAGGGTTTCAAAGTCTGTTCCTCAACTGGAGGAACAGTTTAGATTCTTTATTCTTGTCATTTTGACTGATCTTAATAGTCATAGAGATTGAATTCTAATTGCGATTCACTTTTTTTATAAACAAAACATGGCAGAAAGAACAATGGACATGTAGAAATAAGTTTGTTATTCAGTTTTCATGTCTATTTTTTAAATAAATTTTTGAAGAGTTTAAAAAATCAAATTTGGGGCCTCTCCAGGTGGCGCAGCGGTTGAGCGCTGGGTTGCGAGGCTGCCCGCAGCCTCTGCAGCACCAGTTCGATCCCTGGCCACCGGTGAGGGTCCCACCAAAAAAAAAAAAAAAAAAAAAATCAAATTTGAAGACTTTAAAAAAAAATTAAATTTAGATTTATGTTTTCACTTTCTAGTTCTGTGAATTCATTTTTAACAACTGAAAATTAAAATTTTTCTATATGCCTTAAATTTTTTTTTAAAGATTTATTTATTTATAAAAGAACCGGGGTACAGGCTAGATGCGCGGGAGGGTGAGAGGATTCACCAGGGGTAGAGCGGGGAACAGAACAGGCAGACGACCCAAATACAGTGCTGAGGGGAGCAGCAGGCGCAACAGGAGAGGTCTGCCATGTGATGTGGGACCCTTGCTAGCTGGCCGGTATTGAACCTGCGCTGCAGAGGCTGCGTACAGCTTCACAGCTCGGCTCTCAACCGCCTCTGCCACCATGGGAGGCCCATGCCTTAAATTTTTTTTAATAGTTTTTGTTAGAAAAACTTCGAAGGAACTTTTTTGTATAGAAATACCACAAATATAGGGCCTCCCTGGTGGCACAGCGGTTGAGCAATGGGTTGCGAAGCTGCCCGTATCCTCTGCAGTGCTGTTTTGATCCCCGGCTGCTGGGCAAGGGTCCCACATGGCGCGCAGACCTCTCCCACCGCCCGCTGCTCCCCTCAGCAGTGTATTTCATCACTCTGCCTGTTCTGCTCCCTGCTCTGGCTCTGGTGAATTCTCTCACCCTCCTGCACTTCTGACTGTGCTCAGTGCTTGTATAAATAAATAAAATCTTAAAAAAAAAAAAAAGGAAATACCACAAATATAGTAGTAATAGCTTAGTTAAACCTAAGAATACATTTAAGATTATCCTTCCTCATTTCTTTAAAATTAAAAAAAAATTGTAATTTTTATAGAGTACAATGTTTTTTTTTTTTAATCTTTCTCTATTAAATTACTATTTTTTTCTATTACCTTTGCTTAAAGGTATTTTTTAAAACCATAACATATTTCTTACTGAATTGTGCTTTGCTGGTTGTTTCAAATATTTAAATAGATATATTACTTCTTAAGAGATGTGAGATTTTGAAAGGCAAGGGTGAATTAGCAAAGTAAAATCAATGTTTCATAAAGGCTATATTTATAAATGAACTAAGATTTTGCATTGACATTTGGATATGAAAAGTAAGATATATAGTAAAAATAGATAATTTTGAACTAATAAATATTCCTCAATTTAGGAGCAGGAGACAAATGTGATAAATGTACTTTATTGAGATCATTGCTAGTGTTAGAGTAGTAGTTACGAGCTAGACAGAAACTGTCATATATAGTTTCCTAATGATCTTTTGAGCAATACCTCCACTTCCCTTTATTTAGTATTTGAGTTGTTACACTTAGATATTTTTGAACTGGTGGTGCTAGAAGTCTGTGACAGATGTTTTTACCTGCTTTTTATTCAGTAACTTATTTTGCCTTTACGTGGCAGATTTAGAACAAAGTAAGGTATACTTTAGATTAAATAGAAAGAATGAAAAGTATTTTATAATCATTTTGATGGATTCTTTTTAAAAATCAGAAATCTACATATGATCAGACTTTCTTTCCTTACTATAATAGGTATTTGAAAAACTGGTGATGTCATTAATATGAAAGAGCACTTCAATATTTTAAGGAAAGATAATGGTCTTTGTAAGAAAAATATTATCTAATAAAGGAATGGTACATAGATACAGTTGTACTGGTTGATAAAACCATATTTATCTAATTATGTTTGAATCATAATATGTTTGAATCCCTCTGTAGCAGATGTCCCTTACTAGGAGGTTGCTTCCCCAGGACATTTTTTTAGCTGACTTTCCATGTATTGGGCATAATCATCATTTAAAAAAAATAGAAGTAGAGATTATCAGATATCTTTTGCAAATGACTGTTTTCATTTCTGAGGATCCATACAAGGCAAGGGATCTTTTTATGAAATAGGCTTCTAGGTGCAGGGTTATGAGCAAATAACTTTTAAAACCTTAGCTGATTTATACCACAGTTCTAGGTATTATTATTATTATTTTTTAAAGATTTATTTATTTATGCATACAAGAACTGGCGTACAGGCCAGAAGTGAGGGGGCCGGTGAGAGGATTCACCAGAGACAGAGTGGGAAGCAGAGCAGGCAGATCTACTGAAATACAGGGGTGAGTCAGGAGAGGTCTGCTGCGCCATGTGGGTCACCTCCCTGGCCAGGGATTGAATTCATACTGCAGTGGCTGCAGATCGCTTCATAGTGCTGACGCTTAACCTCTTGCACCACCAGGGAGGCCCTCTAGGTATTATTTAGTATAAAATTATGAGAAACAATAGCATTTTTACATTTTTAAAAAGTAAAAAGATATTTTGCTTTCGGTAGAGGCTTAGAAAATAAGATTTTCATTTTTCCCTTAAGTTTTAGATATGCCTTTGTGGACAAAATTTTAAAGTCCTTTTTTTTATTAATACATGGTTTATGCTGGTTTCAGAAGTTTTGATCATTTTTTAAAATTTTTATAGACTTCAAATCAACGTTCCCAAATAATTTCATTAAAAATACACAGAATGGGGGCCTCCCTGGTGGTACAAGGGGTTAAGACGCAACCTATGAAGCTACCCACAGCCACTGCAGCACGAATTTGATCCCTGGCCAGGGAGCAACCCACATGGTGCAGCAGACCTCTCCTGACTTGCCCACTGCTCCCCTCAGTGGTGTACTTCGTGAATCTGCCTTTTCTATTCCCCGCTCTTTCTCATGAATCCTCTCACCCCCCACACCACTGGCCTATACCCTAGTTCTTGTATGCATAAATAAATAAATCTTTAAAAAAATAATAAAAATACACATAATTTTCAATATCACTTAAAGGTTTTTGTGACTAGTGAAAGATTTTTTAACCGTTAGAAAGTATTAAATAGCTTGGGCAAGTAATACTAAAATCTCGCAACCTTTGTAAATTTAAGTAGTAAGTTTTATACATAAAAGAAGGGAGGTGAACAGCTTTGTGGCTTTGTTTTTAGTTAACCTATCATCTTTCAAAAAAAATGGCTAAATAAATAATAATAAATGAAAATACCTATGCAGTCTCTAGAAGTGAACTTTGAAAATTTAGCCTTAATTTTAATGAAACATTTAACACCTAACTCATTTTTAGTTATGTAGTTGCTTCTCAGAGTACATTCAAGTTGATATTTTCTTAAGTATAATCTGTGCCATCAGATGAACAAGGTAAAGATTTAAAAACTTTCTCCTCTAAGTAATGAACAGTTCAAAGGTCTTAAAATGTTGTGTGTGTATGTATTATTTCAAGAACACATTTTCTGCTTACCCAATATTAGCTTATAAAAATTTGTGAGATGCTTGAATAAATCAGAAGATGAAAAAATATGTAATTGCATATATACTCAGATACTACTTTTCATAATTTAATCTTTGACACAAACATAATAAATAAGAGCCTGGGTGTATCATTCTTTGATAGTACATTTCCTGATATACTATGTGTTATTTTGGAGAGTTACTTAGTGTGCTTGTGTCAAATAGTTGCATTTATTTTGATTTATGACAGAAATTAATAGAAACAGTAGTAAATTCCTAAAACAATTGAGCGTACAAAATCATAACTTTTAAAACATCCTTAAAATTAAAAATTTCTTGATCCTTTGGAAACCTTAGTGATTTCTTGACCCTTTGGAAACCTTAGTGATTAGTTGCCTACATAGTGATCCACAATGTGTTTAGTGAAATATTGTCAAGTATGATGACAAACTTCATCTGAGTGATTTTAAAGTTTTCCTTTCAATTTGTCAAATAGCCATTTTGCCTTGTTTTTAAATTTAAAACTTTTAGAATTGATATTTAAAATTTAGAATGCCTCACCAAGGGGAGTTTTAGAAACACTTTCAGGCAGTGTTTTGTTGTTGCAGGTTTATCAAGTAGAAGATGTGTGTGAAGAAGAAATGCCAGAAGAATCAGATGAATGTGTCCGGATGGATCGGACCCCACCACCACCCACATTGTCCCCAGCAGCTATAACTGTGGGGAGAGAAGATTTAACCTCTGAACATCCTTTGTTAGGTGAGGAAATACAAAAAATTGGGGAAATTTTTTAGTAGATAAATGTTAGTAATGGGAAAAGTTTTTTTTTCCAGTAGTGACTGCATTAAATGAATTTTTGTGTAATTAATTGCAACAGAACATAGATTAGAATACAATTTTTTTTTTGATGTGCAACAGTTAGGACTATTGATGAGGAAATGTTCAAATGAAAAATATTTTAGCCTTACAGTTTTTTTTACAGTGGTTTGTACACAATTATTTCATATGCCCTGAGTCTCATGTCATTTGTTTTCTACCTTAAAAATTAAAATAAATTCAAGCCCCATCTAAAGATTTCAATTATATTTCCTAAAATCACAAAACACTCTAAATCATAGGTCACATTTCATAATCCTTTGTGATCCAGCCTGAGTAAATGCTTATAATGAAAGTGTTCTTTCCCACATGGTACTTAAATTAAACCTCAATAATTCAGACATGGATTAAAAAATAATCTTGAGTTTAAGCATTCAAGTTCTTACTACTTCAGTGCTATTTATGTATTCAAGCTACTCTTCTTTTTTTTTTAATTATTTATTTTTATACAAGAGCTGGGGTACAGGCCAGAGACACGGGAGGGTGAGAGGATTCACCAGAGACAGAGTAGGGAGCAGAACAGGCAGATAGACCGAAGGCACTGCTGAGGGGAGCAGCGGGTGAGACGGGAGGTCTGCTGCGCCATGTGGGATTCTCGCCCCACCAGCTGGGATCGAACCCACACTGCAGAGGCTGCAGACAGCTTCACAGCGCAGCGCTCAACCCACTGAGCCTCTGGGGAGGCCCTCAAGCTACTCTTCTATATGTGCCTCTTCACAGTATTAAAATGACTGAATCCTACATGTTTTACTAAGTCATTAATATGTCCCATAGTTATGTATATGGGTCCTAACGAGATATATTTTGTTAATTGTTTTTTTAAAATATGAATATTTTATTTAGATTAGGGATTGGCAAACTATAGCTCACACTTCAAACCTTTCCTGCTGCCTGTTATTGTATGGCGCATAAGCTAAGGATGGTTTTTAAACTTTTAAATGATTTGAAAAGTCAAAAGTACAGTAATATATGTCATGTGAAAATTATGAGAAATAATTTCATTCTCTGTAAATAAAGTTCTGTGGAACATAGCCATGTTCATTTGCTTAAATATTACTATTACTACTTTCCTGCTACAACAGTGAAGATGAATACTTGCAGAGACCGTATGATCCTTTACAGAAAGCTTAATGACCCCTGATCAAGATAATATTAATCTTGCTTCGGGCTTCATTGTAAATATTCTGTTCTAGTCAATATCTCATGATTCTTGTGGTTATTTTCAGTTAGGGAAAACCACTATAATAGGCATGGAAACAAATTGTAATGGGACACCGACCTTATCTGTTACTTATGCAACCCCTTGCCTCTTTTTTCTTTAGCATGCCACATCTCTACTCCTACCCTTTTTTTCCACTTTTTATTCCCATACTAATGTGATGCCAATAACAATGTGAGTCTTTGGAAAGCATTAAAAGGGTAAATCAGTTTTCTTCCAACTTTTCCCCTTCCTGAATAATAGAAAATATGTAGTCAAGAAAATATTTAAGACAAGTTTAATATTATTACCTTTGTTTATTCAAAATAATACTTCAAAAGATAGGTTCAGAGAAATCTATAGTATCGAATATTTATGATTTCTGTATTGCACATTTCTTGGAGATTAGGCAGAAATACAAGTATGCTTACATGTATATGTATAACCTTGCATTGTGATTGTAATTACTGATGGCCAAAGAAAATTGAAACATTTTTGAAGTATGGGAACACAAAAATATCCTTTCCCCCTCCTCAGAAATGTAGTCTGAGATTTTGTGGCGCATAACCCTCTAGCTAAATTTTCTAAGTACAGTGTTGACTTTTGACACTTCTTATAATTTGCTTCATATTATTACTCTTCTGTAGTATATGAGCAGGAAAAGCCAGCATAGATTTGTTTTGTTTTGTTTTGTTTTTTTAAGTATAACTCATCAAATCCCATTGACAGCTCAGCTGATAGAGCAGAGGACTACAGTTAATTCTTGATAAGAATAACTCATCAAATCATAAAATAAACTAACCTGCAAAACCAGAGGGACTTTTAAAAAATATTTATTTTTAAATTATTAATTGATCTTTTGGTATTATTTTTAGTGTGGTAACAGTGGTTTATAACATTGTATGTCGGCTCATATCTCTTCAGATGTACATTACACCACCATGTCTACCACCAAAGCAACCATAATCCTCTACCATATTCTGTTGAGCTCCTACCCTCGTCTCTCCTCATCCTCCCCCTCTGGAGGAGGGGATGGATCTAGGGGATGGATCTAGTCATGGATCTAGGGTTTGTTTTGGTTTAGTTTTTCTTTTCCTTTCTTTTGTTTCTCTCTAGTCCACATGAATGAAAGCATCTGGTTTTTGTCCTTTCTCCTTCTGACTTATTCCACTTCCATTCATGTTGTCATAAATAGCAAGATTTTATCTCGTAATAGTTGAGTAGCAATCATTCCATTGTGTACAGTATCACCTCATCTCAATCCACTCATCTGTTGTTGGGCACTCAGATTATTTCCATAACTTGTGTATATGTACTAATCTTCATGATCCATTTATCTGTTTTGGGGCATTTAAGTTGTTTCCATATGTTGGATAGTTTAAATAATGCTGCAATTTAAGCAGGTTTCCAAAGTATGTTTTCCTCCATAACATTTATCAACAGAAACATAGGGAATGTAATATTTGTGTAACTTAAAAATTAAAAGATACAAGCAACCATTTTAGTATCTGTTCTTAAATTGACATTGAAAAGTATTTATATGCCTTATGGGACAGTTCTTTTTAATCAAACAAAGTTGGAACAATAACTTTGAGCCAGTTGCTCCATTCTTTTGTAAAGTGGGGATAATAGTGGATTCTATGTCGTAAGGTTATTGTGCAGGTCAAGATAATAAATCCAAAATTCTTAAAGTGTTTTTTTAAAGCACCACATATTGTTATTGTTTATTGTTATTCTTTTATATTTGCCTGGGTAGAATGCAATAGATTAAAAAAAAGTGACTTTTTTTCCAGAGCAAGTGGAATTACCTGCTGTGGCATCAGTCAGTGCTTCGGTAATTAAATCTCCATCAGATCCTTCACATGTTTCTGTTCCCCCTCCTCCACTCTTACTGCCAGCTGCAACTACAAGGAGTAATAATACATCTATGCCCGGTAGCATTCCCAATATAGAAAACAAACCTCCACAAGCTATTGTTAAACCACAGATCTTGACCCATGTTATCGAAGGCTTTGTGATTCAGGAGGGACTGGAGCCATTTCCTGTAAGTAACAAACAAATTTGTATTTTTTAAATTATTAATGTGGCATTATTTTAAAATTTAGTTTGTTGTTATTCTCTACTAAAAAGCTTGTAATTTCTTTTCAAAAAAGCTTTCAATCTTTTATCAAGAATTTATCTCTGTCTATATATAGCCTTCATGTGTTTCCAAATATATTTTTAGAATTTTATGCTGACTGTTTAGATAATGTAACAAAGGAAACAATTTCAGGATATAAGGATATCTGTTCTGTAATGTTACAAACATAGTTGGACGTTTATTCCAATGAAATAAATATTTGTATTTTTTCTTTTAAGGGAACTGAAAGAACACCTAAAGTGTATTATTTTGCAAAAATTATGTTTCTTGAATAATGTGTTACTTTGTGAATTTTAAGTTGAGTACAGAAAACAGTAACTTCTAAATGACCTGATACTTCTGAAATTACCCAGTTGATGGCTTATAATTAACAAATAGATTTTCTCATTATTAATTATCACCTTCCATTCAGATTTAACATGCAGTAGTGTTTATCTCAAAATGTGCTATTTCTATCATCAAAATTTATATGCTCATATCTAAAGATGAACATTTTTCATTAGAAAATAAATCAGGGCCTCCCTGGTGGTGCCTGGGGTTAAGACGCTACCTATGAAGCAATTTGCAGCCACTGTGGCATGAGTTCGATCCCCGGCCAGGGAGCTACCCACATGGCACAGCAGGACTCTCCTGACTCACCTGCTCCCCTCAGCAGTGTATTTCAGTCAATCTACTGTTCTGTTCCTCACTCTGTCTCTGATGAATCCTCTCACATCCCCTGCTCCCCCACAGCTCTGGCATGTATCCCTGTTCTTGTATGCATACATAAATAAATATTTAAAAAAAAAAGAAATCAAAAGACAAGTAGCCGAAATCAAAGCCAAAATCAAAACAAGAAAACAAAATAATTTATTTTGAAAAATATTTATCAAGCCTTTGAATCACCTGAATTTTTAGGTTTATGGGCAATGTAGACTGCATTATGATAGTTGGTTGCTATCAATTGCTTTAGTTTTCATTTTATTCTGTGTGTGTTAAACTTAGCTCTCCTTGGAGAATTCTGATATAGTGAGTGGTGGCAGTTTTTCTCTCTGTGCTCCTCAGTGTTTGAACCTGCACACTGACTGTGTTATCTTTGTCAAGCCACTCCACCTTTCTGATCTTTTGCTCATTTGGCAATTGGGGATAATACTTTTACTCTTCGGGTTATTTTGAGTATTAAATGTGCACAAATTATTCTGTTGAACTTTTTTCCACTTTTTCACTATTCATACAGTCCTGAAGGGAATATCTTTGTACATAAATTGAGCATATTTTAAATTATTTTCTTGGCATAAATTCCTAGAAGTAGAGTTTTGGATCACTTTACCTATATTATTCATTAGACTCTTGGCTTATATTGCCAAATTATTTTCTACAAAGTTTATTTAAGTTTATTCATATACCAGAAATACATACCTTTAGCAGCACTGAATATTTTAGATTTTTCAGCAATAGCCTCTATATATTTTACATGAGGCATATTAAATGTTTGAACTGAAATAAAATTTATAAGGGTATGAGTGATTATTCTCCAAGGTTAAATGTACATTTTTAGCAAGGTATTATTCACTATGTGTGCAGATGTTGGAGACATTCTTAAGCAGTTTCACTTTTGCAGATTAACCAAGGGTTCAGTAGTGAATCAGTTATTATTTTTGATTTGAATTGTTTTTTTGCTGGAAACACTTCTAAAATAAGTAATATTCATGTTTTAACCAAATATATATGAACATAGTAAGTATTTTTGTTGTTTTTGATTTTAATGTTAATATTTGAGGGGTTTTCAGTATCTTCTCTATTGTAGAAGAGATTGCTGAATAAGAGTTAGGAAACTTGAGTTCTAGACTGATTCTGCTTTGGTAAAGGAATCACCTAAACACTTCAAACATTAGTTTCCATATCTATAAAATACATGCAATAATGATCCATTCTGAGAAGACTGTAATTTTGTTTCTGCTGACACATGCCAGCAATGCACTATGAAAATTAAATGGAATGAATATATTATTCAAAATGAAGTCCTTTGCCTAAAAAACGTTATTTTGAAAGTATTTTAAAAGATTATTCATTTTATTCTCTTTTTTACAGGTGAGTCGTTCATCTTTGCTAACTGAACAGCCTGTGAAAAAGAGGCCTCTTTTGGATAACCAGGTGATAAATTCTGTGTGTGTTCAGCCAGAGCTACAGAATAATACAAAGCATGCAGATAATTCATCTGACACAGAGATGGAAGATATGATTGCTGAAGGTTTGTGAATTTTATGTAAGATACTTTAAAATTAACTTTGACTTCTTGCTTGAAGCGGGACACAGGTTTTTAAATCTGTACACATTTTCTCTTGGAAGTATTTGCTTTTGTTTTCATATAATGTACTATTTGACTAGAATAGTGGAAACATTAACCAGATTCTTAATGGCTAGATAGTTAAAACAGCAAGATTGGTGTTAATTTGTTTATGTCAATTTAACATGTGAAGGCGTGTTGACGGGAAAGATTCCATTATATTGGATAGTAATTCAGACTTTTAGTATCAAAACAGCCAGTTCTCTGTTTTTTTATTATGAAGACTTAAGTAACAAATGACTGTTTACTGAGTTTGTTTAAAAATTTGGAACTTCTAGGTTGTTTGGTTTTAGATGTTACCATTTTCTTTGTGGTAGTACAGTTATATTCGAAACGTGCTTTTCAGTCAGGAAATAAATTTGTTCAAAGAGAAAAATATCACTAAATCTCCTTAATATAAAAAATTTATTACAGATTTTATTCTAATAGTGAATTTTCCATAAAAGTCAAATTGGTGTACAAAACGATTACAAGAATATAAACAAATAAGGAAAAAAAAGAAAAATGATACTATCTTAATTTTATTTATGCATACCAGAACTGGGATGTAGGCCAGAGGAGCAGAGGGTGAGAGGATTCACCAGAGACAAGTGGGGAGCAGAACAGGTGGACTGACTGAATTACACTGCTGAGGGGAGCAGCAGATGAGACAGTAGAAATCTGCTGCGTCATGTGGATTAGCTACTGGCCAGGGATGGAACTCGTGCTGCCATGGCTGTTGATAGCTTGACAGCGCTAAAAACTTTAACCCCTGTGCCACCTAGAAGGCCCCTCCAAAATGATATTTTATTTTTTACTCTGAACATGACCTAGCATTGGTACAATGCAATTTAGTTGAATAGCATATAGTATAGGTAGGACTCTATGGTACTGCTTTAAATAACATCTGTGTCTAATTAATTATCCTCAGTATATTAGAATAGTTCATGTAAAATTAATTTAGTCACCTTCTAGTTATTTATTGAGCATTTACTGTGTACCTGTAATTTGCTAACTTAAGCAAAATAGCATGCTGGTATGCAAACTAGCTTTTGTCTTTGTCCACAGTTATCCTAAGTATCCTAAAGAAAGGTGCCTCTGTCTTTGTTGTCTTAATTTACGAATTGTTTTAATTTGTTCATCACTGAATATATTACATACTTCCTTAAAACAGAAGAAGGAAAGGGTTAGAGAAAGAGGGAGTATGATGGTAAAATCAGATTTGGCACAGAGTATGGTAGTAACAACAGAGTATTGTGGCAATATAAAATTTGGTTTTTACTGTTTATATTAAATTCTGTTTGATATTTTTGTTTAAAAGACTGTTAACCATGAAAGATTTCAAACATACAGAAAGAACTGTATAATCACCCAGACTGAACATCATCATCATTATCCGATTTCACTTTCTTGCCACACTAGTTTCATCGATCCCCTTTTGTTTTTTTCGTCTCTCCTATGTCCCTTCCCTCTTTCTCTGGCACTTTTCCCCTTCCTTTCTTCTTTACTTCTATTTAAACAAAAAGTCTTGGTTTTCATTTTTATTTAACTGACACATACTAGTTTGCCTTTCTAAAAAAAGGACACTTTCTTAGTAACTGTAATGCCATATCATATAATAATATTAATATTCTTTGGTATCGTCTAGTACTCTATATTCAGATTTCCCAAATTGTTTATAAAATGTGCTTTTTATAGTTATTTTGCTCAAATCAGAATCCAGTGTTTACATTTTGCCTTTTGTTCATATGAGTTTAATTTCACTTATTCCTGAGTACTTGTTTTTGAATACTATTTTAGCTGAGAATATTTTTCTTTTCTTTTTTTTTAATTTAAATTTTATTTTTATATTCCCCATACAATTACAACCCCCTTATTTTGACCCCAAGCCCTCCTTTCCCTGCCCCCCACACCCCCCATAGAGTGTCTCTGGTTCATAGTTGTTTGTTGATTTTGATATTTTCTTTCTTATAGTTATTCTTTGTCCTGGTCTCTTATTTAAATTTTCTAGATTCTTGCTATGAGTGAGACCATCTAGTATTTTTCTTTTTCTTTCTGGCTTATTTCGCTGAGCATGATCCCTTCCAGCTCCATCCATGTTGCTGCAAATTGCATGTGTTTATCTTTTTTGAATGCTGAGTAATATTCCATGGTGTATATGTACCACATCTTCTTGATCCAATCATCTATTTTTGGGCATTTGGGTTGTTTCCAAAGTTTAGCTATTGTAAATAGTGCTGCTATAAACATAGGGGTGCAGGTGCTCTTTGGAATTGATGTTTCTGTGTCCTTTGGGTAAATACCTAGGAGTGGAATTGCTGGATCATATGGAAGCTCTATCTTTAGTAGGTCAAGAAATCTCCACACAGCTCTCCATAGTGGTTGGACCACTTTGCACTTCCACCAGCGTGCAGGAGAGTTCCTTTTTCTCCACAACCTCGCCAACATTTGTTGTTGCTAGTTTTTTTAATATGTACCGTTCTCACTGGTGTAAGATGATATCTCATTGTAGTTTTGATTAGCATTTCCCTGATTACAAGTGATGTTGAACATTTTTTCATATGCCTGTTGGCCATTTGCATTTCTTCTTCAGAGAAGTTTCTTTTTAGCTCTTCTGCCCATTTTTTGACTGAATTAATTTCTTTGTTTTTGTTGAGTCTCATCAGCTGTAGATTTTTGTGATCAGTCCTTTATGTGTGCAAAAATGTTCTCCCAGTCGATGGGGTTTCTCTTTGTTTTTGTTATTGTCTCTTTTGCTGTGCAGAAGCCTGAGAATATTTTTCAAGCTGAAGAATAGTAAAGATAAATATGCCATTTTTTTTTTCTTTCTATATCTATAGAGAGTGTATAAATAAAAATTTTAAGCATATGTAGTATGCCCCCTTGTGTGCACACATTGCAGAAACATGGAAAACTGCTTAGGAAATGTCACAGAATATTTCACGATACTTTTAGGCAAATGACATGAATAAGTGTTTTTAGAAACTGCTGGTCATCTGTAGGATGAATATAGAGATTTGGCATGTAATTGATACCTGTAATCATAGTAGAAAGAGGAAGGAAGGAAGGGATTATTGCCAACAAGGCTAAATTTTATAGGACAAAATATAAAGAAAGGAGAAAGGGAAGATTTAAAGTGATCAAATTTTCATAATGGAGATACATTTGTATAAAATGAAATGTGCCATAAGTTTTAAAACTTCTTAATTAAATTGTATCAATTTAAATAATTGCACTTCAGTGTTTTGGGGAAGTTCTATAGGTAGAAATAGTGAAGTCACTTTTTCAGTGGGTTTTGTTTTACAGTTTAATAAAAAACTTAATAAGTTTTTAAAGAGAAAAACTTAACCTCTTTTTAAAGGATGAACTGTGTTTCCATTTGAACCAAGTTCTGGAAGCAACAGCTCCAACCAATAGGTTGTGATTTATCAAAATAGATGTCTTTTTTTGGTAAATCATCCTGTCTCATTGCCTCTTTCCTTGCTGGTGATCCTCAAGTTATCTCAAAGTCTTCCAGGAAATTAAAATCCTCACATAAAAAAATTGGGGACTTGTACTAATTAGAATGTACATTCAGCCATTCAGTAGAGACCCAGAATTATATTTTATTAAATAAGATAGGTAAATTTTCTATAACAAAAGGTAAGCAATTGAGTACATAAGCTTCCAGTGTCATATGGTTCTGTCATCCCTAGAATGTTCCTCCAAAATAGCTGGTATCATAACTGTATTGTATTCAGTGCTATTGATCAGACATTGACTACATCTAGGGCGGAAACTAGCTATTTTCCTCCATGCATGTATTTTTAGCAAAAACTTAGGATTTTGTTACTATAGAAAGAAAGTGAAGAATGGATATTGAAGAAATTGCATTATTTCTGTCATAGATTTCTGTCTTTATTAGGTAAAACAAGTAGTTTTGTACTTACTTGGTTCTATAATTTTTTATTCACAAATGTGAACAAATAGCCGTGTTAATATTGCCAAATTTGTTAAATTTTGACCAAACAGAATGGGAATTTTTTGAATCTGTTAATGTTTTTCTCTTTATGATGAATAAAATTGATGTTCTATTTTTGTTAATTGTTAACCTTGAAACGCTACCTATTTGAGATTCCCTGTGTCTCACTAGCAAAAGCATTTTCCTTTTTTTTGTGAGGTATTTTAACCTTTAATCAAGTTTTGCATATTGTTCTATTAATAACAAAAGCCTTTGAAATACAGCTTTTGATATAGTCTGGAAATGGAGCAATTTGTCAAAGGGACTCTGGGGCAGTAGTGGTCCAGTGAGAGGTTCTGTGTCTGGTACAGTCTTTTCAAGGTCAGCTCAAGTTACAAGTGTGGCAGAGTAAAAACAGTATTCCTCGAAGTTCTGACATCAGGCCACAGCTTATTGGAAGCCATTTATCAGTAACTGGAAGGAATGATTTTAATTTTACTTTTTTTGAAACTGTTTCTTCCTCATTGCTACTAAGTAGATGGCTTTTGCTTTGAAGGTAGTTTTGAGAATTTCTGTAAAATGATCATTTGTTAGTCTGTAATTTGATCAGTCCCAATAATATTTAGGGCTTCAAATATTATTTCATAGTATTATAGGACAGGGGTAGGGGCACCCCAGAACCTCCGAACCTGCCCGACCTCCCCTTTCCCTGGGGACCAACCTCTTACAATGTGTGTTTTTTGTAGTTTTACTGCCCTACTTGATTAGCACTTTGCCATCTGCTTTGTCCAGTAATGCTGGGATAATGTGAGTCCTTAAACTTATCGAATACACATTATCCTGCCTACATTTCACAGTCCCTTTCTTCACCTTGACCAGTCTTGCTAAATGAATTGTGTGGACAATACATATGTAGCTCACGGCTGAAGCTTCAGTTAGTGAAGTGCCTCTGTTTTTTAACTTGGCTTGGGAATTAATAGTTTTCAGTGAAGTACTTCCGATCACTTCTTAACACATCTTGAAAGTCTGGAAAATAGGAAGTGGAACTGTCACTTTTTTATGCTTGCTACATTTTATATTGGGCCCTCATAAATAAATCTAAATCACTTCTTATTTTAACTTTTAGTTTTTTTTTTAATTTTTTTATACTGTTGACTTACATAGTTTTTAGTATTTTGTAACCATCTCTCTCCCACCCTGGTGGAAGTTACTGTCGCACATACCCAAGGTGCCTATGGTCCATCACCATGGTCCATTTCTCTCCCCACTTTGTTCTCTCCTTTCTCTCTCCTCCCCATTCGAGGTGCCTCAGTTCTATGGGCAATTTTCAAGGGTTAGTTTTTAGTTTGACTTTATCTGACCCTTTGTTTGGTTTCTCTGTATTCCACATATAAGTGATACTATCTGGTATTTGTTTCTCTCTTTCTGGCTTATTTCATTTAGCATAATCTCTTTCAGTTTCATCCATGTTGGTGCAAATGGCATGAGTTTATTTTCTTTGATTGCTGAGTATTATTCCATTGTTATATACCACATTTTTTCATCCATTCGTTTTTTGGGGGGCACTTATGTTGTTTCCATATCATGGCTATTTTTTTAATTAATTTTTTTATTAATTAAATTTTTTCTTACATCATTGTAATTCCCATAGTTCTCCTGCTACCATGTCACCTGTGAACCATCACCATTTTCCCTGGTGTTCATTCCTCCCACTGTTCCCCCTCCCCCCCAAATCCGGCTCCCACCTTTGCTGTATGCCTCAGTTCTATGGTCAGATTGCTAGTTTGGGCTTTTTCATGACTTTGTTGTTTCTCTATATTCCACATATCAGTGAGACCATCAGTATTTATCTTCTTCCTTCTGACTAATTTCAGCTAGCATAATCCCTCGAGCTGCATCCATGTTGCCATAAATGGCATGAATTTTTGATTGCTATGGCATCTTTTTTTGATTGCTAATATTCCATTGTATAAATATACCACAACTTTTTGATCCATTCATCTGTTAGGGAACATTTAGATTGTTTCCATTTCTTGGCTATTGCAAATAGTGCTGCGATAAATATAGAAGTGCAGGTTTTCTTTCAAATTAGTGTTTTTGTGTCCTTTGGGTAGATTCCTAGAAGTGGAATCCCTGGATCATATGGTAGATCCATTTTTAATGTTCTGAGGAACCTCCACACAGCTTTCCATAGTGGTTGGACCAGTGTACATTCCCACCAACAGTATAAGAGGTCTCCTTTATCTCCACATCCTTTCCAGCATTTGACGTTTCCCCCCCCCCCACCTTTTTTTTTTTAATGTGGGCTATTCTTACTGGAGTGAAATAATATCTTATTGTGGTTTTGATTTGAATTTCCCTGATAACTAGTGATGTTGAACATTTTTTCATATGCCTCTTGGCCTATTTAAACAGTGCTGCAATAAATATGGGAGCGCAAGTTTCCTTTTGAGTTAGTGTATTTGTGGTTTTTGGGTAGATACCCTGGAGTGGAATTACTGGGTTGTATGGTAGATCCATTTTTAGTCTCTTGAGAAACCTTCATACTGTTTTCCAAATGAGTTGGACCAATCTACATTCCCATCAGCGGTACAAGAGGGTTCTTTTCTCCATATTCTACCCAGCACTTGTTTCTGGTCTTTTTGATATGGGCCATTCTCTCAGGCCTGAGGTGGGTATCTCATTGAAACTTTGATTTGTATTTCCCTGACAATAAGTTTCACCACTTCTTTGGGAGGAGGTATATTATAAACCCTTCCTTACAGATGAGAAAACTGTGGGTTATGAAGATTAAATTACTTGCTTACAAGTGACTTGCTTAGTACTTGAGAATGTAGGTGGGAACTTTCTTTGGATCCTATGCTGTGCCCTGAAGAAAGCTGGATATAGAGGTGGCGGGAAGGATATTCTAACTTAATCTGGAGTACCCTAAGCAAAAGGGAGTAGAGGTTAGAAATTGCAAATTTGTAATTTTTACGATTTATCTAAAGTTTTTGTTTTAGTGTAGTATAATAAAAAGGGACTATTTTATATTTAAGATATATATCTTTATATATACCGTTGTACATTGTAGATTTTTGTATTATTTTACATGTTCTTGTAAAATCAGACATATCAAAATCTTACTTTTTTTTTAAAGATTTTACTTATTTTTGCATAAAACTGGGGTGTAGGCCAGAGGTTTGGGGGGTGAGAGACTGGAGAGCAGAGCAGGTGGATCTGCTGAAATACACTGCCAAGGGGAGCGGCAGGTGAGACAGGAGAGGTCTCCTGAGCCATACGTGGATTAGCTCCCTGGCTTGGGATTGAACTCAGGCTGCAGAGGTGACATCACTGAGACCTACCTCTAGGCTACTAAGGAGGCCCCCAAAATCTTACCTTCTTTTTGAAGTCATCCTCATTTTCTTCAGTTAGAATGAAGTGTTCTCTGCTATATCTCCACAGCACAATGTACCAAAATTCATATCCCATGTGGTGTTTTTTGAAAGTATTCCTCCTGAAGGTTAGTGACTGTCTCTTACTCATCTTCATTTCTCTTACAATGCTTAACAAAGCTATTTGTACTTTTCATCATGTTGAATTCTTAGCAAAATGAACTTTTTAAAGCATACACCTTACTTATGTAGTGAAGATAATGTATAATTTTTGGTTTTTGAAGGCTTTTGCCCTGCCAAAGTGGGCTATGATTGGAAAGTTAAAGAACCATTCCTTTAACTTTCCTGGGGGGGTCTGCATTAACAATATCCAGGCAAAATAAAGGATAAGATAAACTTTATCACAGTTAAATTTTTGGATTTCCCTCCCCCCCCCTTTGTTTCTTTCTCTTTTAGAGACATTAGAAGAAATGGACAGTGAGTTGCTGAAGTGTGAATTCTGTGGGAAAATGGGATATGCTAATGAATTTTTGCGGTCAAAACGATTCTGCACTATGTCATGTGCCAAAAGGTATCTGTTCTCTTGAATTTCCTAAAGTACAAATCAAAAACCAGTGTAACAACTATAAAAAAGTAGTATAGCTTACCACTAGCCAATACTACTATATTATAGAGGAATAATATCAAATAGGCTTTATCTAGAGCTGCTTTGTTTTTAGTTACTAAAATTTTGTTCTGTGAAAATTACTTGTTTATAGCACTTTCAGTGAATTTTACAGCCTAAAACTGAAGTAGCAGTCTCCTGATGTAAGAGTGGACTTAGGAGACCCCCTAATTCTCTTAGTAATGAATAGTTCTTAAGGTATCAGAACGAAATTGTTTTATCACCTGATTTTTGTATCAATATTGAAACCTCTGAATTTACTTTGTTTTAAAATGTTCCCATTTGTTAAAGTATCCTATTTTAAGTTTTTACGTGGGACAAGCTATAGTATTAAGTTCACATTGTTAAATTATCACACAGTAAAATTCCTGTCTTTATATATTGTATTTTCAATAGTAATATTATAGGAAATAATATCAAAGTGTGTAGCATCTTCACTGATCTTATCTCAAGTTTAGTTTACATTAAAAATAAAACCCTTTGATTCCAGATCCGCGGATAGGGTAGGACGCATTTAAAACTTTGTCTCCTACTTTTCTCCCTGAGTTGTACATTCCTCATTTGCCCTTCCCTTGTAAATAAACCTTTTATTAACCTTTAAAAAAATAAAAATAAAAAAAATAAAACCCTTTGATAAGATAATAAATTCTAATATAGCTATTTACCATTAAAGGCGTGAAATGTATGCACAGGTTATTTTGGAATGTGTCCTCTGTTCAAAAAAAGTAATTATTCTCTCACATAATTTAAGATTCTGATTGTATACATCTGTGGAATTTCTTGTTTCGGTTTTTTATTGTGATGTCACTAAAATATACTTTGTGAAATTCAAGTTAAATAATAATAATAGAATCATTTTCTTTCAAAAATGGATTCATTGATTTTCCCCCTGTCTGTTATTCAAATATTATTTCATGTTACTGATAGTCCTAATCAAATTATGTAATTTTATATCAAATCACGTAACTCATATTTTAACTCGGGGAATTTTTCAGTTTGTATAAAAGTAGAAAGAATCATGGCTCTTTGATTCTATGTGATTAATAACTCTGAGGGAAAAGAACTGCCCTTCAGGATATTTTAATCATCTTAACTATTTAGAAGCAATTCAGGACATTTAACTATCACTCACTGCTGAGAGATGATTGCTGAGTTGTCACATTATTAGACCTTTAGGTAAACTTTTTTAGAGGATTAGGGGCCTAATACAGGAAAATACAAATGAGGGCAAGGAAGAGAGGATAAATTAGGTCAGGAAAGAATTGTTGTTAACTCTGTTTTGGAGATCTAAATACTTAGAGACTAAATGGCAAGTAGAAAGCTAGTCTCTTTTCTTTGTTCCTTAGTCAGTGGGGATAGAAGTTTTGAAAATTGTGTAAATGAAAATCCATAATCTTTAGAGCTGAGGCCACAGATGAGCATATAAACACAGCAGAAGTTTAAAGAATTGTTTTAGGGTAAAATGAAGTGGACATCAGGACACTTTTTAATATATTTTTAGGGTAAAAATAGTGTTCATTCTGATAGTACTGTCTACCTCCTGATATTTGCATAAAGCATAGATGGGGGGAAATTATTTTGGTGTCTGCATTCTGGTCCTAGAACAGTTATCAATAATAAAGTTAATTGGAACGTAATTTCCAATTATTCTTTTTAAATTTTTTTATTTTTATTATTATTTTTTAAAGATTTACTTATTTATGCATATAAGAACTAGGGTGTTTAAGCCAGAAGTGTGGGGGTTGAGAGGATTCACTAGAGAGAGTGGGGAGCAGAACAGGCAGATTGAATGAAATACACTGCTGAGGGGATCAGTGGGCGAGACTAGAGAGGTCTGCTTGCACCATGTGGGTTGCTCCCTGGTTGCTCTCTGGCCGGCCAGGATTGAACTTGTGCTGCAGTGGCTGGTGATAGCTTGATAGTGCTCTCTTTAACCCCTGCGCCACTAGGGAGACCCTGGAACTTATTCTTGATATTTTCCAGAAGTGTATTTTTAGAAGAGTTTTGAAAATAAGTTATAATAGCAGTTTCGTATGTGTAAAAAAGAGGAATGAAATGCATTTTTTTTAGTCTTTTTGTAGTTTTTAGAAATTTATTTCATAGATTATTTCCATTTTTCTTTTTAGGAAAGGTTTGCAAAGTATGCCCAAACCAAATCTTTCTAATAGCCTCTTTTTATACAACTCCTGAATGAAGAACAGTTTTAAAAATTTTAGGTGATTAAAAAAACAAAAACAAAAGAAGAATGATAATTTGTGACACATGGAAATTACGTTAAATTCAAATTTTAGCGTTAGTAGTGTTACTTAAAGTTTTATTAAACAGTCATGCTGATTATTGTCTGCAGCTGCTTTCATATTACAGCTGCAGAGTTGAGTAATTGTGAGAGAGGCTTGTATAGCCCATAAAATCAATTATTTACTATCTGGCTCCTTATAGAAAAAGGTTGCCAGTTCTTGTTCCAGAGCATTGGAGACCAATAAATGGCAGAGAACATTTTAAAGCTGTCATCATACCTTATAATAAAGGTCTGTGTTCAAAATATTAGACAGTCTGTTTTGATAAGATAAAAATCTTTGAACCAATTTAAAAAATATGTGTATATCTGAATTTTTTGAGTAATTCGAGCTTTGAGCGAATTCCTTATATAACTTTGAAATCTCAGCCTTACAATTTTACTTTTAAATTTCAGTAATTAAAATCTTTTACTAGCTGTTTTAGATTTCCCCCTCTCTATTAACTTCTTTTTACTTATTTCTCTTCAGAAATGATTACATTGAAAAATATCTGAATAAACATCTAAGTAGTTAAAACATAATTTTTTTTCTGGAAACTTGAATTATTGTGCAGTTACAAAAATCTGTTACTCTGCATTTTGCAGAAAGTTGCCCACTATCATGCTGTTAACGGGATAAAAATAATACCTTTCTGTAGCTATCCAGTTCATATTGATATTTTCAATATGATGTTTTGATGTATACAGAAACTTATCTGACTGTTAGTATCCGTAATTCCATTTAACACAATGGTGTTGGTGTCCTTAATGAAGTAGATAGCACTTACTGCTTCATAATTGCACTTTAAAGTCACAGTTAAATGATTTTCAGCATACTCCGTTTAGTATTAAATATTTTTTTCTTATATTTCCTAGGTACAATGTTAGCTGTTCTAAAAAATTTGCACTTAGTCGCTGGAATCGTAAACCTGATAATCAAAGTCTTGGGCATCGTGGTCGTCGTCCAAGTGGCCCTGATGGGGCAGCAAGAGAACATATCCTTAGGCAGGTCTGTAGAATTCTTGCTTCAATGTACAATACCCTTTTCAGAAATGCAAAGGAAAGTGCAATGCTGTATTTTACTTGTACTACATTTTCCAGCTTCCAATTACTTATCCATCTACAGAAGAAGACTTGGCTTCTCATGAAGATTCTGTGCCATCCGCTATGACAACTCGGCTGCGCAGGCAGAGTGAGAGGGAAAGAGAGCGTGAACTGCGGGATGTGAGAATTAGGAAAATGCCTGAGAATAGTGATTTGCTACCGGTCGCACAAACAGAGCCATCTATATGGACAGTTGATGACGTTTGGGCCTTCATTCATTCTTTACCTGGTATGTAACCCATCCATCACTTCTGTCTTAATATTTCTCTTGTACAGTCACACACAGGACTGTTGTTAGATCCATCCACACCTATTGTACAAAAGGGCTAGAGAAGTAGTATGCAGATGTATTAATTAAATGGCATTTGTTATTGAAATGTGATCTGTCTCCTCTTGCTTATTCCCTCAGCACAACTGGGTATTTTCTCATACCCCCCAAGTCGATAAAAACTGACTAGTCCTGCTTCTGCTGTGACACCTCAGCCGGTGAAGATATTAAAGGTGCTCTCTTCTCTTCAGTCTGATTTCTCTTGAGAGGTCAGTAGAGAGATTGAGTCAGACACTTCTTCCCTTCTGCTCTTCTCTTTTTCTATTCTGTATCCTCCTTATTTCCTAATTTAAGCATTTTAAAAATGAAGTTAAGAGAGACTGATTTTTTTTTTTTGACATTTTTGAAAGTACTGCCTTTAGAATATGATACAATTTCGTTTTCTTTCTAAAAAAAAAAACAGGCTGGTTCTTTTAATGAAAGCTGAGTCTTTGATTCTTTGCAATAAGTAAACCATCAAGAACACTTCTAAAATTTCATTTTTTAAGTAGACAGCTAAAATTCAGTTATATATCCCATTCCAGTATTGAGGATAACTTTCTTATTTATGTTTTTCTGCTCTCTCATTTGGTGCTCTTTCCATCAGCTTAAGTCTTATTGTTCTTTATCTATTTTCTTTAATGCAACAATAATCTTTTATATCCACTTTCTCCAAGGGGCTGGATGCTAAGGACAGCTGTACCTTTGCTCATTATGAGACCCACATGGTTATATGTTAAGATAACATTTTTTTTTTAATCAGCAACTATTATTCAATTTCACCTTATGAATATGGAAAAGAAGGAAATTTATTAAATGTTCCATTTGGGTTTTATTATGAATCATGCCATTTCTCTTGATACTTGCTATCCAGAAAAATACATCCATTATGAATGTGGCTACAGACTTAGTAAAATTTAATTCAGCTATTGTTAATTAATCTTTCTATGAAGGTGACCATGTTCTCAGAAACAAGCTTACAACTAATGTGTGAGTAAAGAAAGTATATTCAGAAATATTATTGCTTTTTAAAAAATTCTGTAGCCCCCCCCCCCCCCGCCCCCCGTGGTGGCACAGGCAGCTGAGCACCATGCTGTGAAGCTGTCGCAGCCTCTGCAGTGCCGGTTCCATCCCGGCCAGCAGAAAAGGGTCCTATGTAGCGCGACAGACCTCCCCTGTTGTGCCCGCTGCTCCCCTCAGCAGTGTATTCCGTCAGTCTGCCTGTTCTGTCCCTGCTCTGTCTCTGGTGAAGCCTCTCACCCTCCCGTGCATCTGGCCTGTACCCCAGTTCTTGTATAAAATAAATAAATCTTCTGTATCATTCATATAGAATTTAGGTACTTACCTTCTATACAGAACTCTGAAAATTTATTAAATTGTTCTAAAAATACTAAATAAGTTTAAGTTTTATAAACCAGATATGGTCACTTTTAAAGAAAGATGAAATTGTTTGAAGGGGGGATGTGTTTTTCATGGGAAGATTTTAAAGCATGCTCCTAAGAAAATTTAGGTGAGAGACATGCTGACCATGTGGATTTAGAATTTGCTTTAAAATTGATGTATTAGAGGATGGTGAATCTTCACTGGTTTGGTTTTAAATCTAATGAAATGAACTTCAGTTTTTAGAGCAGTCTAGATATCTTGAGAATTAACACTGGAATCTATAAGTATCACTTTGATAAAATCACCTTCAGAAGTAGCCTCAGTCTTCCAAATGGGGCATGTGAGTTGTTAGCCTGATTTCTCATTTGGGGGAAAATATTTGTTTTCCTTTGGGGAGGAGGGTTAGTTCATATGCCTCAGCAAATTGTTGGCCAAATAATTAATAAATAATAGATATTGCTGATTCTTCTATCACTTGATATGCCCTTTAGCATATTCTCATTTTGTATTTTTCCAATATTCCCCAGCATCCATTTGCCATGAAGCCACTCTTGGCTGCTTTATTAGAACGAAGACTAACTCCATTGTCTCATTTTTGTGTTATTTAAGTTAAAAAAAAACCAACAAAAAACAAAACACATTAATGAGATGCTCAATTTTGTTGTCCTTTGTTTAGAGAAGATTACATATCATTAAGTGGAGACTGCTTTATAATTTACAATTGTTTGGTACTGCTTAAGAGTGTATAATATTACTCTGCTTTTCTTCAGTGATTGAGTGGGAGTATTTCCAAACTGCTTTGATAGGCTAAATAACAAGCTTATTTCTGTGATCAGTTTATATCTTCTTCCTCAAGTTTTTCTCTGAATAATGCCTAGAAGTAATGCCAGAAAATGTCTTTTATCTTCATTTCTCCATGTTCCTCCACTTCTTCTTGAGCATCCTTCAGCTCATTTCAGGGCTGGCTGTTTTTTGTGTCCCCCCCCCCAACCCCCCGCACTCCTCCTCCCCAATAGTCTCCTATGATTTTTCAGAGAATGAACAAGTTTGTAAATTTTGTAATCTCTCGTATTTTGTTTCTTTCTAGTTGAGAATAGGCCTCCCTCTTTTATCAGAGCTCCTATTTATTTATTCCTGTAGTTTTCTCTTCTCTTTGTATCATGTCATCATGTGAACTACCCCTATTGGGACCACATGAGAGCTAGTATGGCGTGTACCCAAATATGAGGGCTGTGAGCAGAGTGAGAAATTATTTTCTTCTTATTTTTTGTACATCACAAAGTTCTCTTCAGGAATAAGTCTTTTTATTTTTGATTAAATACATTTATCTTCTTTAAGTCTTCCTTGACATAGTAACTGACCTTTTTCAGATACCAGTTTATTCTGTATTTATTGATCTGTGATTCTGCAATAGATTTGGTTTCTCTGTAGGCATGTAAAGTAGGAATCACAAAAAACCCATGACTGTGCTGGTTTTCATAATACTAACATTGAGACTTGTTTATTCTTTAATATTGAGTGGCAGGTAATATCTTTTCACCTTCCTTACTGAGGTCATTTTTTTGTTCAGTGTGTTTGGTTTCGGGTTTAACTGGAAAAGTGAGTGAATACTTTCAAAGTTCAGTTGGAACCTGTGTCCCTGTGCAGAGCTCCATGCCTGTCCTGATAGCTGTTTCTGGTGACGTGAAGCCAGCTGAACTGACTGGATGATATAGTTGATATATATTTTGTGACATGTTCTTGGGGTACCAGCCATTATAAAGAAGTAGTTTCTAATGTCAGAAACTCACAGAATGTTTTGTTCATATACCTTAAGCATCTAGAATTTTTAAAAAACATTCCATGTTCTCTAATGAGTTTCTGGAAGCATATTGGCTACTGCTCCCCCCCACCCTCCATTTTCGCTTTTATTTTTTCATTTCTATACTAATATATAGTATAACTATCCCTTTTGTGGATAAGAAACATATAACCTAAAATTCTGGAGATAAAGCATTCCTATTTGATCAGACTATTTCTCAAAACACTTTCAGTTGTTTGTTTTTTTTAATTATCATTTACTGACCATCTGCAAGAAGATATTTGAAGAGGGATCTCATAATACAGAGGAATAAGAATATGCTGTATATTTTCCTCGTGGACAACTCCATATTTCTATTCCCAAATGTAGCTCTTATGGTCCTTGGTACTTCTCATTGCTCCTGTTTTCTGAATCTAAGTAAGTCCTACCCTTTCTCTCTCTCTCTTCTTTTCTTTCCTGTGTTCTTGTAAGTAAGACTGAAGAGAGAAGAATGTTATTAGTTCTTTCATAAAAAGAAGGATGAAGTCACAACTAGATGCAAGATTAGTCAGTTTTGTCAGAGAGCTACCCAGTTTTGTTGAGAGCTACCTCTGGGAAAAGAAAAGGGACTTTTCTACGGTGAGTAATTCCATTTTTACAAGTTTCTTTGATGTGACAAATGGGCAAAACCATAAAAATTTACATTACAAGGTACTTTTGAAATGCCAGATTTTAAGTCTGAGAAATTACTAAGGTAGAGAAATTGAAAAGCTGGCTACTTAAGGGGAAAAAAATATAACAGAGAAGATGGAAAAAGAAATAATCAAGAGAAAAGATGGCCATACAGCAGAATACAGAAAAAGCATGATTGTATGACTTTCCTGAGAGCTCCTCTGTAACAGATTCTGGTTTCGTTCAGTGTTTGTTCACTCAGTCAGTTGTTCACTTATCCAAAAATAGACCTATTTTGTACCTATAGTGTTTTGTGCTCCAGTGCTGGCGATATAGAAATGAGATCATGACCTTATATACACAAGGGTGATTATTGAGCTAAGTTGTGATATCCAAGGGTGTGTTATAACCATTTATAGTTTTCATTACTGCTTTCTTGTAAAATGTTGACATAAATAAATTTGGAAAACTTTAGGCTGTCGGGTTTTTTTGTTTTTTTTTTTTAAAGATTTATTTATTTATACAAGCACTGGGTACAGTCAGAAGCACGGGAGGGTGAGAGAATTCACCAGAGCCAGAGCGGGAAACAGACCAGGCAGACTGATGAAATACACTGCTGAGGGGAGCAGCAGGCGGGGCAGGAGAGGTCTGCGTGCCATGTGGGACCCTCACCAGTGGCCAGTGATCGAACTGGTGCTGCAGAGGCTGCGGGCAGCTTCGCAGCCCAGCGCTCAACCGCTGTGCCACCAGGGGAGGCCCTAGGCTGTCAGTTTTTATTTTTAAAATCATTTTACTGTCTCTTATAAGAAGACCTCCATAATTTTGCATTCTTTTCTCTCTTGGTTCCTGAATTCATTATCTTCCCTGCTGGTTTCTTTATCCTTAGTGGGAAAGCTTATTGATTAGGGAAACAGTGAAAAACATTTGAAGTTTAAATAGATGCTAGCATGGTTATCTGCTAACGTAACAGGCTTAGACCGAGAGCCAAACTATGGGTTATTTGGCAAGAGATTAGCCAGGATACTAATCAGTTTAAAAATTATGTTTTCTTACCAAAAGTGGGGATGAATCCAAACGATTTGGAGTTGATGTGAGTAGTATACATTTTCAACAGATACTGTAACTTTGATGAATTGGTTTTGTCCTGAGTCAATAAAAATGTTTAGATGTGCTTAGCAATTGAAGGCTGTAAAGTAGAACAAGGCACAAATGACAATGAAAGTGGTATTCTGGTACTTGATAAAATATAAATTGTTTAAATGGCAGAACATTATATTTTATTCCTCTGTACTTACATATTACTGCTGCTTACTGATGAGGTTATTATTTTTAGAACAATTCCAAGTAAATTGCTTTACTTGGATTTCAAACTAATTTTTATTTTCAGAATGCCAAGAAGTACTTTCTTCTTCAGCAGTGAACCCAAGACTACCACAAATAAATATGATTTGTTTCTCAGCCTATATTTCAGATACTCAGACCTAGTGAGAACATCACTGACTATTAGGAATAAAGTATAATTGTTGTTTATTAATTCTAACTTCCTTCCTCTGATTAAATTCCAGGCTGCCAGGATATTGCAGATGAGTTCAGAGCACAGGAGATTGATGGACAGGCCCTTCTCTTGCTAAAAGAAGACCATCTTATGAGTGCAATGAATATCAAGCTAGGCCCAGCTCTCAAGATCTGTGCACGCATCAACTCTCTGAAGGAATCCTAACAGAATTGTGAGGTTTTGAGATAATTGCAGTTTTACCCTTCTCACAAACTTATAAGGTAAAGGCTCAAGTTGGCCTAGAATATTACATTTATTATGGCGGATAGCCAAGCACATTGGGATCTCCGCATCAAAAGCTGACATTTCTTCAGATAGAATAATTCATTATACATTTTCTTAATTAGCCAACACTGATGAAATTAATTTTACAGGTCACATGCAACATTGAAAGACTTGCTACAGAGGGCCATAATATTTTTCAAAGGCGTGTGTAATACTAGATAATTTTTTAAAAGGTGACGTTTATCAATATATAGAATCCTTTTAAAGGTAATTTGATGATTTACATTCTTCTCTTTTGATTCAGTTTCATATACACTTTTATATCCTATAAATTTCTATAGGTTGTCATGAGAGATAATTTAGGAATAATTTAGTCCAGTGACTGGAATTATATACAATGAGATATCATTGTGCTTTTAAAAACATGTATCTATTAGACAATTACTTTGTCTTTAAGAAAGGATTGCATTCTAGTATAAAGAATACTGATCTGGAAGTCAGAAGAGTTGGTTTCTATTCAAAATTTCACCAAGAATTTGATGGCTAAGAAAGTTTTATTTCCTCTTAGTTTTTGTACATTTAGAGCAGTGGTTCTCAGTGGAGGTCAGTCCCCTCCTCCACCCCCGAACATTTGGCAATGTGAACATTTTGGTTGTCAGCTTTGGGGAGATGGGGAGGCTTGCTATTTGTATCTAGTGTGTGGAGGCCAAGGGTGTTACTAAATCTCCAACAATTTAATAGCCCTTCACAACAAAGAGCTATAAGGTCCAGAATGTCAGTAGTGCCAAGGTTGAGAAACCTGATCAGTGTTGCTCTTTGTCATCCAAATGGATATTTTCAAAAGATGGGATGTGCACTGGGAGTATTTCAGACATTATTAATGTTCTGCTGAAGTATTTTCTCCAATTTCGTGCATGCTAGAAAAGGGGAAAATGCTTTAAATTGGCCCATAAAGTAAGGACTACCATAGAAATGATTTGACTCTCAAAAAGTACTAATTCATATTATCTTTCATATCTTATGCTCCTCTGCACTGATGAAGGGACAGTATGCTTATACGTCATGAACCAGTGCATATCCTTTGCTAGCAAGGAAATAGGCTGTAGCATATGTGGTTGCTCTTTGGAATTTTTCTAATATTATTTGAGGTCTAGCTGGAATACATACATATTCCTTTTCCCTTGACTAAATCATTTGCTTACTGCAAAGTACTTACCAAGTGGTAGCTCTTGGATGATTAGATCTTATTTTGTATGTGTATGTTTTAGGGGAAAAAAATTTTTAAGCGAAACCTTTCACTGAACAGTTAGTGTTATATAGAATTAGGACACTACATCAAAATTGTGGGAGTCCTGAGAGATTTGTACCTCTGGACATCAGGAATTTGTTTTAATCTTTTTTTATCTTTACCACATGATTGAGATGTTTTAGTAGTTGAGGAACACACACAAAAGTTCAGTAAGTGGGAAGAATCCATGAATTTCAGTCATTGTCACTGCTCTTTTCCAAATGATTGTGTTGAGCTAGTAGAAGACTGAAGATGTCACTGAAGACATCACAGATATTTATCTTTTGGCTTTGTGTACATTAGAGAATGTTGATTATTTTTATACAAAAATACAGCGGGTAATTTTTTTAATCTTTAGATGCCTCTTGTTTGAATGTATGCTTTGTGGGATTCTTTTGTGTAGTAATGGTTTAAAAAAAGATGTTTACTGATAGTTATGTGTAGGGTTAGAATGTACAGTATAGTATGTAAGGCTCATGTTCCAGACCTACAATATCCTGTAGTCTATGTCACGTATTTCTTTATATCACATTATTTTATTATTGGATTAAAATGTCAAGGATAGGCACTCTATACTCAAATTTCATTTGTTAGCAATTAATCTTGACAGAGTTGTTACATGTTTCACTTTCCCCCTCATCTTGCATTGTCAGAACAGATACATGCTAAGTATTAGGAGGAGATAGTCCACTGTATGGGGTTTGCAGGACATGAAAGAAAATCTTCCCTGGAATTAGAACTTTATCATAGATGACCTACAAACAATTAATACAAACTTGATTATTTGGGGATAAATTCCCTAGCAATAATGATTACGTCCCATAAGTAAGTGTATTATCCATAGACTTTAACGTTTTAACTCTGGACACTTATTTACTCTATGATTTACTCCCTCTTCTGCTATCAGTCATTGTGTACTTACTGAGAGCCCCTGTGCTTAGCATGTGTTGAGTATCCAAAAGAATTTACAAGAGGGGTTTCCATTTGAGAGCACCTTATAATCTAAAATATTATAATAATTTTTAAGTATTGTTCAGATCTTTTGTTGTCCCTACTCAAAACATACCTAGAAAATACACTGGTTTTTCAAGTGAGTTGTTTATTTAGAAATGGCTTGTTTGCTTTCAACTGGTAATTCTGCTCATTGATTCAGTTGTCTTTCTAGAGGCTTTAATTTCAAAGCTTCAGTTACATATAATGGATGTAGACTGGGTGTCTACTTCCTGAGCTTCAAGCACAGTTGCATATGGTAGCGGTGGGCAGCATGCTATCGCTGCTTTCCTTCATAGCACCAGTTGTTTTAGGAATTTGATTGAGAAGAGGGAATGACAAGAGAAAAGGGACATGGAGGGGTCTTCCTATTTTTGCTATCTAAAGTTTGCATTTTCTGACTTCTTTAAACTGATGCACTCTTCTCCCTTTAAGGGAAAAAAAAAAACCTATGAGTTTGAATTTTTTTTTTTTTTTTTTTTTGCTTTAAGCCATGTATTTCTAAGCAAGCAAGCAAACAAAGCTTGTTTTTAAAAAGGTTTTACTTGACATGGGTTTTCATCAGGCCTTGTGTAGGTGCGTGTCTGCCCAGCTATGCAGCTTTGATAATAGTGTGTATGAGACAGCGTGCTCCCCAAACCTGTCACTTTTAAAGTGACATGTAACCATTTCCATGATGGCACTTGTAATTTGCAGTCACATCCTGTAAACAGACACTTTTTTTACGTCCTAGTTAAGAGGCTGTCATCTAGTAGAGAAGTGGCCTGGGAAGAAATGTTGATGAAGCGGCTTGAGAGGGAGAGAGGCAGACACGAGGCCCGCCCCCGTGTTAGTTTATCCTCTTCAACACTGAACAAGTGTCTGCACTTTTGAAATTAGTATTCATGTGTGCCTAGTTTTTAAGTAGAAATGATTTTCCTTTTCTTTTCTTCCGGCACCCCCCCCCCCCACTGTTTTTGTTTACTGGTGTGTTGAAATACGTAGAACTATATGAGATAAGTATTGTGATTATCCCTTTGAATAATTTTTGACATAGCTAATCTTCATATATCATGTGATATTAGTCAGACATTTATTCAAAAACAAATGCTAGTCTTAGATTGAAGTCGTAGTGACCCAGCTCATTGACTACTCAGTTAAATGTCATAAAGTCCCATTATTTGCAGTTGCTGGGTTTTGTTACCCTTGTGGCACAAGTAAGGTAGGGAGGAATAGAAAGAATTTTAGTCTTTTTCGGTTGTGTTTACAGGAATGTAAACAATTTTGCAAAGAATAAACTACTACATATGTTTGTGAATGATGTTACCCTAATAGCCATATTGAGTGGATAAAATCCATGGCTGGACATGCTCTTAAAACATCTTAAAGATATATTTTCAACCAGAAACAGCCTGGTTGTATTTTGTGGTTAGGAAATTCTCTCCCTTAGCGAATGCCCAGAGCACATGCTGCTGGTACACAGCGGCATCGAGCAGTCATTATCAAAGAGCATATGCTCTTCACTCTCTTACCTTTCCCAAAGCCTCCTCAAGTCCTAAGTAAACCGCATGAAAACTGGCTTCTTAGTGAGAGATCTTTGCTTGGAAGTCTTTAGAGAGGATTTTGTGGTGGGGTTCAAATTTTAAATGAGGTAACTGAGTAGGACTTTGTAATATGTAATAGTTATGTTACAGTGCAATCTGTGGACAGTGGAAACTGGCTTATTTCTGCACAGTGTTTGCTCAGTCTGTGTCTTCTGCATCATGTGTGTTAACTAGCTGGGCTTTGAGGAATGGTCTTTTGGGTGAAGGATAGGGATACAGAGGAGGAGACAAACAGGAGGAGAAGCATTCTAGACCCAGTTAACTGAGTGAGGCCATGTAGTGATAGATCTAGCCTTCAGTAGTTCAGAGTAATAGACTGTATTTGTTGGATCCCAGTTATAGCAATAAACAGGTTATCGTTTTTGTTTTGTCAGGATTTACCTGCAGTCAAATTTATTTGTTCATTCTCTTTATCAAGTGATCCTGTCCTGAGAAGCATAGATATTAATGGTTTCAATGATACACAGTGATGATTTTTGACTTCTGAAGAAAGGTGACAACTATTATAGTTGGAGAATATCTGTCAAAAACATGGAGGTTAAGTGTTAAGTTAGGATTATCGGAATTACAGAGGAGAGAGTATCCATTTTCAAATAAATCAGCCTTGTGGATTGTTATAAAGAAAATTATTTTAAAGATAGTTTTGCAAGGTTGTGTCTAGTTAAGACTTGGGTGAGTAACAGCTGTAGGTTTCTTTTTATTTTGGATTTCAGTAAACACAAGCCTACCTCGATTTCTTTGATGCACAGTAGTGTGGATCATGAAATGACCCTTTTCACCACATTCATCAATATTGGTATTTTACAAACCTACTTAGAGCATTTGATTTCATCTTAAAGATTATGGTTCACTTTAGATAAGCACAAATACAATATTAGGAAAAGCGAATATGCACTCTTACTAAAATTTAGTTTCAATCTGTGATTGTTAAGCTACATCTTTAAAAAATTCTTTGAGAAGATATTCCTCTTTTGTTAGAAGCTCAAAAAGTGTCACTATAGTTTCCTTCATAATAGCTATACAAGCCACTTCTTCAATAAAAAAAGTCAAAAATTATATTACCTTCTTTGGAAAAATTTTAAATTTTTAACATATTTTTCAGAGCTTATTTAATCTATTTTACAATAGTTCTATGAGAAAATTTCTTTTGAAAGTTAAGCACTAATACAAATATAATTACCATTATATTGCAGAGCAAAATGTCTGACTCATTTCTGACTCTCACTGTAGTACACACCTTCATTAAAAGTACGTCCATGCCCTCCTTTGCATACCTGAAGCCCAGTTCTCTAATGAAAACCCTGCCGTTCTGCTCTGACATATGAACACACCTCTTAAGTGCCATGTTTATGGAACCTTTTGGGAAATATTTTCCGTGAATGTTTCCTTTTCCACGTATAGCTTATGAACATTTAATTTTATTTAAAGATGGCAATTTTAACCTCGTGGTTGGGGAAGAGGTGCATTAATCAATTTTTCCCTCACTGTCTTCAGAAATTACTGTTGCTCTCAGTGATAATGGTGGCATCAGTATGAACCTACAGAAATATAACCAGTGCCAAGGTTTTAAAATGTATGGTCTAAAAATAGTAATGAATACATTTGACTTGGAAAAAAATCAACATAAATTGATAGCTTTAAATAAAAGATAATGTAGTAAGTTCTTTTAGGCCACCTATTAAATTGAGTCCGGTAATTTTAAAGATTGATAGTAGTCATCATTTAGTGGCTTAAAAGATATACTTTAGATGCTACTATCTATGTTAAATCCATTTGTTGTGGAGCTGTAAGTGATGGAGGTGAAAAGTTGGTGTTTATAAGAGAGAGTGATGGGGCTAGTGGTGAAATAAACAGCAACCTATTTTAAAAAGAGGGAACTTTTTAATCTTGCCTGAAGCAAACCAGTGTCCAGCACTTAAAACCTTTGGCTAGAATGTGTCAAAACAAATAATTCTTTTTGTCTTAATTTAGTACTAAATAATCAAATCGAAAATAATAGACATTACTGACTTTAATAACAGATTTATTGAATTACTACAATGAATGAAGATATTCTGGGAGACTGGAGGTTTTATTTCCAGTTGGTTGATCAGCTGTGCATGACACCTATGGTAGCCACTTGTAAGCTGTTTCCTCTTCTGTGGAGCCTGTATTACTCAAAATATTGATTTTGGTTAAATCATCTTCAAGGTATCAGCTCTAAAACTATCACTCTGTGCCACATAATAGGGTTATTTAAAAGTTGCTCTTCTCTTTTTAATGGCTTATTTTATATTAAGAGCTCTGGGTAAAAGATAATCATTAAGTATCCATTTCCTATGTCACCCGTTATCCTTGTACTAAGGATTAACGTAGAAAATTCATACAAATGAGGACAATTTTCTAAATGCTTTTTTGCTAGTTTACCTACTAAGTGTTTGAATACATATGAACATTATTCATGCATGTATTCATTCAGGAAACCATTTGAACTCTTACTGTAGTATGTAGTGTACATGACTTAAGGAGCTAGTAATATAACAAAATCTTCCCAAACAAAATTTTGATTGTAGTTTAAAACAAACATGGCCATAACTATTACTATTCATTGTACTGAATGTGAAATTGGCACTGAAAATTATTTTTATGCTTTGGGTAACAGATTAGGCTCAGTGACATCTAAGGGCTTTTAGGGGTCACAATTCCTATAATACATTCCAGGTACTAAACACCAACCAGCCATATACCTGATTAGGTTACAAAATTAAGAGTATTTGACATGTTAAGGATTTACATTTGGAGACTGTTGTGACAGCCCTTATTTCTCAGAATTATTTTGACATTTGAATTTATTCCATAGGTTATTACTGTAGAGGGGGTGTGGCAGAATTAAAGTTGGTACTGATTTACTATACATTTTTAACCATAAAAGCTTTATACCCAGTATTGACAGTGCAGTTAACATTCTCAGATAGAAAAAGCTCAAAGGAGATTCCTGAATAGATTTTGTTTTTTGCTTTAAAAAAAAGATGACAGAAATTTTATTACAAAGATCTACTTTTTACAAAGCACATATATATTTAGTTAAAAGGATTTCTTTAAAATATGGAACTGCTAAACATAGAACAAATTCCATGTTTGAATTAACAAGTATTTGTGAGTAAACACTGAATGGGAGAATTGAATTTAATTGGGAAGGGTACTTTTCCACTTGGGGATTCTGTGAGTTATGTTGTCATTCCTACTGGCATGGCTTTACATATTAAGAGCACTTGATACTAACTTTTCATAAGTATACAGAATGAAAATGTCTAGTCTTAAAGGAATCTTTCGTGCATTATAGTCTGTTTTTAAAGCAGGAAAATGTCTAAATGAGTGTTAGATTAGAATCTCTAACACTGCTTGAAAATAGGAACACTGACATCCAAGTACTCACAGTCTCGGTTTAAATTTTTTTTTTTGCCATGATATGGTTAAAACTTACTTTTTAAAATATTTTAATTTTTACCTAGTCTTTCAGATATTTCATTCTGTTAAAATGTGTTGCATAATTACTTTTTGTATATGCATTCTTAAATTTTAAAGCAAAAGAGTGTGCAAAAGTAGTGTAATTTGGGGTACCTAAGTTATAAGATATTTTGCTAGGTTTCTGAAGACCCCATTCAAATGCTTGCTTGGTCTTTTTGTTTCCAGAGGAAAATAAAAAGTCAAAGTAAGTTCCAAAAACTCCCCTCAAGAGTGAGGCGTGGGTTTGTTATGATGGTTGGAATTGTAGGCAGCAACATGCATGTAGGATGGACACTGGCACTGGTGGCAGACATTTCAACCCTCTGTGTTTTGTCTTCTTGATTGCTCAGTTTTTTTCTTGATTTAACAAAGACACTGTTATGATAAACATTTTTTTTTAAATTTCATTTCTGATGCTTCAAGCACATATTAACTGATTTTATTCCTTCTGTTGGTTCCTTCCATTGTTCAAAAATAGGACTTTAATATTATTAAAAGCTGATCCACCTAGAATGAACAAAGTATCACCAAGGGGAAAGAAAACATTTTTTATCTTTACAGAAAATAAACGTTAAGATTATATATAGATGTATTCTTTACATTGGGTATTGTATTAGAGTCCTCCTTCAGGTAATGAAATAGTTTTAGCACTCTTAGCACTAGCGTTCCTAGATTGGTGTCTATAGCTGCAGTTTTAAAATGTATATCCTGAAAATGAAGTTAATTTTTGCATTATAAAAGCACACCATGATATATGTAAAGACTGTCCATTGGTGTATTTTTTTAAAAAAAAGAAAGCACTTTCATATTAACAAGTAGCATGTGTATGAATTTTAGATTTTCATATTTGTTGTCTGTATTCAGTGAAGTAAAAGCGAGCATTCAAATGTATGTTGATGGCAACATTAACTGTTAAATTAAAGCACCTTATACTCTGCTGCTTAAACTTGCTTGTAATTGCACCTTTGTTACCTGCACATTTTCACATAGAATATTGTTGTAACATGCTTTCATGTGGGTCTGGATGGAAGGTTAGTGGGCCTACACGATCATTTATTTATATTGTTTATATTACAATAATATATTGTAGACCAGTTGTAAGTTCATTTCTTTACAAATAAAAGCCTCTTCCATTTGGCTGGTTTCTTGAGTATTTTTTTCTTTAAACTTATGACCCATGGGGAATTCTCTAATAAATAAAAAGCTTAATGAGGAATTTGAAAAAGTTTTAAGTGTTCCTAATTTAGAATCTGCTAAGAGTATAAATGGTTAAGAACAATATCTTTTGAAATATATCAGTCCCATGTAATGGGCAATTAGAATACGTTCAGAGGAAAAGTAACAAAGGAGAGTGGGCCACGTTTAGATATTGTAGAACTGCTTTAAAAAATACACCCTGTTGTGTCCATCAGTCTAGGAATCACTCCTTTTGAACTTTGGCTATGTAGTTCACTTTGTTTCTGTAGCTGTGTGCTTTTTATTAGTCACTATTTTCTTTAAGCATTTTAAGTATTTTAAGTATTGTACTATCCAATACAGTGGTTATTCCTCTTCCATGTAGTATCTTCTGTTAACAAACGTGCCCACAGCAGTGGACATATAATTCAAGTCAGGTCACACAATCATTCCCTGGAATTTTTTTTTTTTTTTTTAATTTTTTTTTTTTTAATAGAGGCATGTTTGTTTGTTTATTTATTTATTTGTTTGTTTTTGTTTATACATGCACTGGGTACAGTCAGAAGCGCGGGAGGGTGAGAGAATTCACCAGAGCCAGAGTGGGGAGCAGAGCAGGCAGGCAGAAGGACCGAAGTACACTGCTGAGGGGAGCAGCGGGCCGCAGGAGAGGTCTGAGCGCCATGTGGGACCCTCCTCTGGTGGCCGGGGAGCAGCCGGGGATCGAACCGGCGCCTCAGAGGCTGCGGGCAGCTTCGCAACCCAGCGCTCAACCGCTGCGCCACCGGGGAGGCCCCTCCCTGGAATTTTTTATATGAAGCCAGGAGATGCTTTAAGTTGGAATGAAAGTCCTGAGCTCTTGGCAGGCAGAATCCCCAGGATGTGGAAAAAGTGACATCGTGTATTCTCCGAATAGTTTACCATGTCATCTTTCCAATATGGAGCTTGTTCATTTTTATTTTATTTTTTAATTTTTTTTTAAAACAGAATTTTTTTTTAAAAGATTTTATTTATTTATACAAGAACTGGGGTACAGGCCAGATGCGTGAGAGGGTGAGAGGATTCACCAGAGTGAGGAACAGAACAGGCAGACTGAAGATATATACTGCTGAGGGGAGCAGCGGGCAAGACAGGAGAGGTCTGCCATGCCATGTGGGTTGCTCCCCTGCTGGCCAGGATCGAACCTGAGCTGCAGAGGCTGCAGACAGCTTCACAGTGCAGCGCTCAACTGTCTGTGCCACCAGGGAGGCCCTCATTGTTCATTTTTAAACAATTTGCTTCTCCCACCCCCAGGTGTAGTCCCCATAGCATTTCCTTCACCAGTGCACCCGTGCACCATCACCTCAGTCCCCTGTGCTCCTCCCTCCCTCCCTCTGATCCTCCCCTGCAATATGTCTCTGATTTATAATTGTCTGTTTTTGTGGAGCTTTTTCTTACAATGGTCAGCTTGGATTTGTATTAACTCACAGAAAATTCCCAACTATCCAGTAGCATTTCCCAAACTGTCTTTCATAAATGACTAGTACTAATCAGTAAACAGGTTTCTTTACTACAAATTTCTAAGCCTTTGAGATGTTTGTGGCATTGTGCATTTTCAAGTGAAAAAATGATAAGAAACAACATTCTTCACATTTCACTGGGAGATCATTCTTTTGAGAAACAATGAATGGGACTGAAGAGAGAAAGTACAGTGGTATAAGGAGCATAAGCTCTGAAGCCAGGACCTCTGGGCTTGAAACCAGTTTCCCCAATTATTAGCTTTATGATCTTGAGTGGGTTTTTACTTTTTAATTTCTTCATCTATAAAAAGGGGATAATAGTACTCATCATAGTTATACTGAGGATTAAATCAGTTGCTGCATGTGACACTTAAAACAGTGCCTTGCATATAGGCATAGAGGAAACACTTCCTAAGGCTTTGCTAATATTAATGATCCCTAGCACTAAGTTTTCAAATAACAGTAATCCACTGTGGATCATGAACTCAATTTAGTGGGTCACAGCCAGTACTAAAAGAAAAGATACTATGAAATGTATCTGCATAAGGATATTAGGGCATATACACTTACACATACTTACATAAATGAATGTGTATGTGTGATATAAAAAAATCTTACAGATGTCAAAAAACTTTAGTCACCAATTTAGGAAATGTGAGGTTTAGAGTTAGGCAATATATTTGTAAATGGTGATCAGAATACTTATGTAGTTTAATTCAAAGTGATTTCAGATTGTTTTGCCCACCGAGGGAAGTTTGGAAATGTCTGAAGACATTTTGATTGTTATGACAGAGGAAGGAGGTGCTACTGGCATCTAGTGGAGAGAGGCCAGGGATGCTACTCAGCCTCCTCCAATGACCAGGGCAGCCTCCCCCAACCAAGATTAGCCAACCCAAAATGTCAATAGTGCTGACGGATGAGAAACCTACTTTCAGTGTGATATGTTGCTGATGTGATTATGATTTGATGTGCCAATTATGTGACATTTGATAAATGAAGGTGACTCCGGTATGTCATGGAAGAGCTGGTCACTACTCGTAATCCTGCAAGTTAGGGAACGGAAGCTTTTCTCCCAGGACTATTGGCATTAAGTACAGAGATATATTTTTAAAAACTAGATCAGTTTAAGTTGAACTAGTTTTTCTCTTACATTAAAGAATACTTACACCAAGTAAGAAATACTTACACATGTTAAGAAAATGATCTTGATTTTCTTGCTCTGAACTTAAAGTGTTAAAGTTCATATGTTAAAATTAGTAGTAAATCTCGGGTTTCCATAACAGTTTGCATCCCAGTAGCTTTTTGGGTAACAATGGCCAAATGTTAACTCCTATCACTTTGTGGCAGCAAATTGGTATTTGTAACATATAGTGTCCTGAACAGGTATAAAGTTTTTCCTGGAATTATTTTGTTTAAAAATAAATGAATAAATGATATCATAACCTAAAAGACAGTCTGGAAAGGTATAAGAATGGAGGTGGGCGGAAACAAGAAAATTGTCGAGTCATTATTCTTTCCCGTATGTAAAATTATGATTCTTACAGTAGTTTTTAAGTTTTAATTAGTTTTAACATGGCAACAATATTAACAAATTGTTATTGATATAGGCTTTTCGATGTGCTCAAGATTACGAATTGTAAATGGAACGAAACAGCATTTCCAGTTGACAAATGGATCCACAGTTAACACACTGTCTCTTAAATTAAGCTTGTGACAATTAAACCAGTAAATGGTAGCAATAAGAAAACTATTAACAAAATACAACCATGGGACATTCATCTCAATATATGCTGGAATCTGTACTTTAAGTAAAAGGATAATTACTTGAAGGAATACAAATGGTAACCAGGTACCAAGAAAACAGATAATGAACTTGGGCAAGAGTGTTTTCTTAGTGTTGACAGTATAACTAGCCTGGGATGAAAAGGGGAAATAAAGGATAGTCTCATTCATATAAGAAGTTATCCTCATACCCTGTACCAAGGTGATAACTTCTGAACAAGAGATTAGAAAAGCCACACATAACACCATCACCATGGCACAAGAAAGCCAGTAACCCTGCTCGCTGCTATAGAAAGGACATTGGTAAGAATAACCATGCTGTGCCTCCAGGTGTGGGTACATAGCTGGATCCCCCAAAACATAAGCAAGGGTTGACATCCAAATTAAAATGACTATAAAGATATAAAATAACTTTTGACACTTAAATTGAAGCTTAGTGGCTTTACAGAAGTTCAGGCAATAATCTACACACGCTATGGAGAAGACTGGATAATGCAAAAAGCCGTAAGTACAAGAAATAATTTGAGTAAACAGGCAGATGTGGTATTTAGTAAACCTCATGCCTAAAAGTACAAAATCCCGGAAATAAGATATAATGGAAATGCTTGCCAAAAGTAAAAGATCAATGAATGCTAATGAAATGCAAAAATATTCCATGAAATTTTGATAGGTGTTTTTTCTTTTCATTCCTAGTGTGAAGATACTTAATAATGTTTTCCCAAGTATAATCAAGAAGAGCAGACAGTTACCATCTAGGGGCTGATTTGTTTGATGTAACTGGTATTGATAGGAGTTCTCTGAAGAAAGTGCAGTCATATTTTTAGTTAAGTTTCAGAAGGCATGCTGAAATACATATGATAAATATTGCTTCCCTTTATTTTCCATTCCTGCAAAGAAAAATAAAAAAACCTAGATGTTATCTTGATACTATCTCTATTTTAAAACTTTACAAAGCAAGCATCTTTCTAAAAATCCAGTTTAACCTAATCATTTCCCCAAATAACTAAGAATTTATATTTCTCTTAATACTTAGAGATTGAGAATATGATCAAGATGAATTAATGTGTATAGTTCAGTGGTCCAGAACTCAGATTTATAAACCAAATTGTTATCTAAATTACTATATAAGCACAGGTTTCAATAACTTGTAAAAAGAGGGAAAAATTTCTATGGTACTAAAGCCAAAATACAGGCTTAAAAGAGCCGCCTGATAGTCATACTCAAAACAACCACTGATAAACTGTTAACAAGTTCCACTCTGACTCCAGTCACTACCCCACTCCCTCTTTTTGTCAGAGAAATTGAGACCAGGCTTATGGAGCTCTTGAATAAAGCCGTTCTCAAAGCTTTATAGCCGTAAGATCATCACTCAGGGAAATCTTTCTCAGAATCTCAAATACATAAAACAGATGGCTCAGATGAAAACAGCAGGAATACTAGCAAAGGAAAGAAAGATTTACCTTCTGGATATGGTTTCTGGGTATGGCACTGGCAGAGAAGAAAGAATGCAGGGAAGAAACAGGAAGTGACCCAAGAACATGAAAGGAGTGTTCAGCAGGGCTCCAGAATAGGAGTGGAGGCTTCAGTAATAAATGTATTCGGGAGTAGGAAAAAAGAGAAGATGACAAAGACAAGGGCAGAGAGGAAGAAATCTGCAAAGGCTGAAAGGGAAGGAAGGAAATTGGTCCTACAAAAAAAGCCAAAAAAACCTGAAGCTTCTTCTGCAAGACAATCCACCCACAGTGTTTACAAATAACAAACCCCAACAATAGCAACAAAATAAACCCACCCACAGATGACAACTGAGATGAGTTAAAAATGATACCTGGTTTATAGAGTCGTTTTAAAAAAGTCTTGCATTCTCATCACAAGAAAAAAAACTGTAACCAGAGTTAACCTCTGGCGACAAATGTTAACTAGACTTACTGTGGTCAATTTACAATATATACAAATAGTGAATTAGTATGTTTTACACCTGAAACTAGTAATAATGCTGTATGCCAGCTATACATCAATTTAAAAAAATGGCTCTCAGACAAGGAGCAAGACTTAGTTTCCATTCTACCTTTTTTTTTTTTTTTAAGATATTTATGCACATAAGAACTGGGGTGTAAGGCAGAGGTGTGTGGGGACAGGGGCAAAATGATTCACCAGAGACAGAGTGGGGAGCAGAATAGGCAGATCTACTGAAATACACTGCTGAGGGGAGCAGCGGGCGAGTCAGGAGAGGTCTGCCTCGCCATGTGGGTAGCTCCCTGGCTGGCCGGGTATTGAACTAGGCTGCAGAGGCTGCGGGACAGCTTCATAATGCTGTGCTTAACCCCGTGCACCACAAGGGAGGCCCATGAACAATTTTTTCTTGAACATACTCTCATGGCCCTAAATCTACTATGTCATCAGCACACATGTATTAAATTATCTATGTAATTTTATTTTTTTATAATTCCCTTCTGAAATTAGATAAGCTAAGGAACTGTGTTTAAGCAGGCAATGTCTGAGGGTGTTAGCATTTCATCACCGACTCAGAGTGCAGCCAACTGGAAAGCCAGAAAAGCAGATGAGGCCCCTGAGGAAGGGATAACCCTGTGTGTTTCTTGGGCTAAGGAAGGTCAGCAGACAGGGAAGCAGCTACAGCAGCCAGGCATGAACAAGAAGCTCTTCAGAAGACTAGAGGAAAGAAGAAAAGTCTGAAGCAGAATATGTAAGAGAATCATAAAGCTAGAAGAAACAGGAAGATCGACAACAAAAAGTGATGTAAAGGAAGTATATGAGAGAGTGAGATTTCAGTTTTGTAGCAGTCCCTGAATACCACCACCATGCAAACCAGTAAGATGATACCAATTTTATACCCAACTTCCCCCATATACCAAAAGCATTCAAAATTCCAATTTTTTTTTAAACAACCTGCTGGACAAGATAAAACCCTTTAATAAGCCACCTATCCTAAATTTAACCATGAAACATGTTTGCATTAACTATAGGGATTCAGAGATTTACAAGATCAGTTCCTTTCCAGGCATGAACTATGTAGATGTATGTTCATATATAACATAAAAAGTTAAAGCATTTGAAAGTCTTTTTTTAGGGCCTCCCCGGTGGTGCACTGGTTAAGCGCTGGGTTGCGAAGCTGCCTGCAGCCTCTGCAGCGCTGGTTCGATCCCCGGCCACCGGGTGAGGGTCCCACATGGGGCACAGACCTCTCCTGCCGCCCGCTGCTCCCCTTAGCAGTGTACTTCGTCACTCTGCCTGTTCTGTTCCCCGCTCTGGCTCTGGTGAATTCTCTCACCCTCCAGCGCTTCTGACTGTACCCAGTGCTTGTAGAAATAAATAAAATCTTTAAAAAAAAAAAGTCTTTTTTAAGACATTGTTGGGCTTGCTGTGAGATCTAACCAGTTTAGATACAATAGCAGGGCCTTGGGGTCTCAAATCATGATTCTTCTCATTGACCCAGTCTCTGCTTTTCTATTTATAACTCAATTTTTTAAAACAACATATCCTACTTACTCTGCTTCCTCCAACAGGTCTTTCTTGGCTGATGATCTTATTTTATTTCTATTTACCACCTTTAATTGTCTTACTTTTGGTTCCTTGCATTTCATTTTACTATACCAAGCTGCCACATGAATAAAGCTCTGTGTGAATGAAAACAAAAATAAATATCATTAGTGGCTATCGTAACAACTGGAATAACGTATAACTGGGCTCCAGCTTTCTGCTTAGAGCAACTATCTCTTTCTGTGGAATTAGAGCCATCAACTCTTTATATGCTTTCCAGCAAAAGGAAGAAAGAAATTACCTAGATTGAAAGCCTACCAGAGACCCTAAGATATACTTAAAGAAATAGCACCTAGTTAAACCTTGCTTATAATGAGGTTTTCACCTACAAGCCTTAAAGTCTAAACAAGCAATTGTCAGACTGTCTGGTTTTCAAGACCTTTGACACCTGTGCCATGTTAACATAAATAACATCATCTTAAATTAAAAAAAGACTGTATTTTCCATACAAAAAAACAGTGAGCAGAGTGGCTGGCACTTTTTCATGTTTCACGAGTTGCTTTCCTGTCTGGTTCAAGAGGAGACGCTGAATTCTCACCCAGTGTTCATTAGCTGGACTTGCACTCATTGTGCAGCTTTTGTAAGGTCCTCTGTACATTTCCAAGAGTTTGAGAGTAAAAACAGGTAAATAACTTCACTGTATTATTATAATCAATGTTATACTACCAGTTTGCATGCAATCTCAGAGAACTTTAACAAAACCATCTGCGCTAAAGGGTAGGGTAGGCAGATGAGCACCGTTAACATTCTGGTGGGCTGCTGTACAGAAAACTGCATCAGTACCTAGCAAGATTTGCTAGCAGGTGCTACAAAATGGAGAAAGCCTGTGGGAAACTTGAAGTACTGAGACTTGTGTAGTGGTTTTACATGCCTTTCATCTAATCTTTATAACAATCAAGAAAGGTACATACTCTTTTTCCCCAAGAGGAAACAAGGCATGCTGGGTAACAAGCACATTTCCCTAGTCAAATGACTTGTAAGCGTTGGAGCCGGAAGTTCAACCTCAGGTCTGGTTTCAAAACAGTTGTGTTCTTTAATAAACTGCAACTGTGACTCAGCTCAAAACGGCAAATGCAGGAAGGCATTTATTTCATATGTGTGCAGTAGCTTTCCCAAAAGGTAACAACCAAATAAGAGTGACTACTTTGATTACTGGTATCTAAGGACCATAAAGGGTAAATGACAAACTTTCAAAATGTGGTCTGTGCTGGATATGTCAAAATTCAGTGAAAAAATAAAATGTCGTTCAACTCCAATAACTTTATTTTTTATTTTTTTTAAAGATTTATTTTTTATTCATACAAGAGCAGGGGTACAGGCCAGATGCACGGGAGGGTGAGAGGATCCACCAGATACAGAGCTGGGAACAGAACAGGCAGATTTCAGTCGAAATACACTGCTGAGGGGAGCAGTGGGTGAGACAGGAGAGGTCTGCTCGCCATGTGGGTTGCTCCAAGGCCCGTGGGGATCAAACCGGCACTGCAGAGGCTGTGAACAGCCTCACAGTGCTGGGCTCAACCGCCTGCGCCACCAGGGAGGCCCACCTTTTTTTTTTTTTTAAAGATTTATTTTTATTTATACAATAGCTGGGGTACAGGCCTGAGGCGCGGGAGGGTGAGAGAATTCACCAGCCCCAGAGCGAGGACCAGAACAGGCGGAATGACAAAATACACTGCTGAGGGGAGCAGCGGGCGAGACAGGAGAGGTCTGCTGTGCCATGTGGGAATTTCCCTGGCTGGCCCGGAATCGAGCCAGCGCTGCTGAGGCTGTGGACAGCTTCACAGCCCTGCGCTCAACCTGCTGCACCACCAGGGAAGCCCCTCCAATAACTTTTTAAGAAATATATATAAACAACTGGAAAATGGAATAAAACATTTAAAGTGGGGCCTCCCTGGTGGCACAAGGGATTAAGACACAAGCTATGAAGCTATCCACAGTCACTGCAGCATGCATTTGATCCCCAGCCAGGGAGCTACCCACATGATGCAGCAGACCTCTCCTGACTCGCCCGCTGCTCCCCTCAGCAGTGTATTTCAGTCAATCTGCCAGTTCTGTTGCCCACTCTCTCTCTGGTGAATCCTCTCACCCCCCATACCTCTGGCCTGTACCCCAGTTCTTGTATGCATAAATAAATAAATCTTTAAAAAAAATAAAGTGGATCAAAAATACAAAACATTTAAGGGTAAGTTTGACAAAGCATATATAAGCATTATTCTGAAAATTAGAAGCACTGCAGAAATTAAAGATCTAAATCAATGAAGACATAAACCATGCATTGGAAGACTCATGTTCAAATTAAGAACAAAGCTGGAGGACTCACACTATCTGATTTTAAGATTTGCTATAAAGATGCAGAAGTAAAAGGGATGGGTATTAGCATAAGGAATGGAGTAGAAAAGAATCCAGAAATAGACCCAACACATTTATGGCAAATTGACTTCAACAATATTTCAATATAATTCAATGGGTAAATGTTTTTTTCCTAAAAATGGTGCTGCAAAGTGGGTAACCATATGAGAAAATTTAACCTTTACCTTTATCTCAAACTATGCACTAAAAAGACTCAAAATGGCTAAGACTAACTGTGGAAGCTGAAATTTCTAAAGGAAAACGGAGAAAATCTTTGTGATTCAGGGTCAGCATCTTAGTTTCCTAGGGCTGTCATAACCAATTATTGGTACATGGCTCAAAACAACAGAAATTTATTCTCTCTCAGTTCTGGGGGCCAGAAGTCTGAAATCAAGGTGTCAGCAGAGCCTCACCTTTGAAGAAGAAAAGAGGAAAATCCTTGCCTCTCTGGCTTTTGGTGGCCTCTGGTGGCAGCGTAACACAGACCTCTGCCTCCATTTTCATAAGGCCATCTCCTGGTGTGTCTGCTCATCTTTTAAGAACACCAGTCACTGAATTTAGGGCCCAATATAATCCAGTATAATTTTAATTTAAATACATCTGTAAAAACCTATTTCTAAAAAGGGTGATGCTTTGAGTGGACATGAACTTGGGGTGACACTAAACAACACACTAGGCAGGCACAGCTTTCTTGTGCACATAGCTGATAAGTTGAGATTTGTTAAAGAGCAGATATTTCTCTTTGAAAGCATAGATAAGAACATGAGAAGGCAAGCTACCAACTGGGGGAAAATATTGAGAATATCTGACTAGTGACTTCAATTCAGAATATAAAAGGACTCTTACAGTTCAATAGGACATTAGCTCTTTCTAAAATGAGTGAAAGATTTGGACACATTGGGGAAATGCAAATAAAAACCACAGATATCACTGCACATCCACCAGAATGGTTAAAATTTAAGAGACTGACAATACCTGCATTGGCAAGGAAATAAGACATTTAGCTCTTTCAGACACTGCTTAAACCATTTGATGATTTATTAGGATGCTAAACATTTCATCCATTAATCCTGCTTCAGGTATTTACCCAAGAGAAAGGAAAACATACGTTCACCAAAAACAAAAACAAACAAACAAAAAAAACCCAAAACCAAAACTGTTCACAAATGTCTATGGAGATTTATTCACTATGGCTCCAGATGGAAATACTCCATTTGGCCATCAGCAGGGGAATCGATAAACAAACTGCAGGGCATCTACACAACAGGCTCTGTCCCAGCAATAAACAAGGAATGAAGTACTGATAAATGCTACACAAGGATAAATCCAAAAATTGATTGAAAAGAACATACACAAAGGGTAGAGGTTTGTGGTTCCAATTACATGGAATTCCAGAACAACAAAGCTAGACAGTCTGTGTAGACCAGACAGTATCAAGTAGAAATCTTGGGCCAGAATGTACAATAAAAATTTTGCAGAGATGAAAATTTAGATGGGTGTGGTAGTTCAACAAATGTACACATTTTTCAAAACTAAAACTATACACTGAAAATGAGTGCATTTTATTAAATTTTTAAACAAAAAAAAATGTTTTATTATCTTACATCTTCGTTAATTTTTGGATACTATTTGGTTTCTCTCCTCCAGTTTGGTTCCTGTAGTTCTCCCACCACCCAAATGCCTGTGATCCATCGCCACAGTCCCCTGTGCTCTTCCCTATTATTAATTTATTTTTAAGGCTGTTTCATTTTTACTGGATATAAAAGGGAAAACCCAGAATTAACTTAAATATCCAACAAAAGGAAATTGGTTACCTAAATTATGATAACAGTTTCCGAGGAAATGTAACTGTTGAGTATATGCAATTATCTCTATTCCCTCTTACAATGCCACTAAAAAAACAGTAACTGAGTTTGTAAATGATTCCAAAACAAGCAAACCTAATTTGTCACATCTGTGAATACTAGGAACCCAAATCACTATGTTTTTTATGTTTTTATACTGTTAAATACAGGAAAAGAGGCAAGAACTTTTCCTGCCTTTCCTATACTAACTGTACCACTTGGTGACAAAATAGTAAGTGAAGGAATATTTACATTTACACAAGTAATCTAATAAATGAATAATAAGTAATAAAATTTGAAAATTGCTACTTTGCAACCCCTGCTGTATTACTAGTAGCAGCAGCCAATGATCATCAACAGCTACTAACATCCAAAGAGAGAAGTGGAAGAATGCACTGCTATCTGTCAGCACTTAGAACCTGATCAAGTGTGTAGATTTAACTACTTACTTACAAAAACAGACAAACAAAAAAAAAGCAGGAAAATGAAGATGTTAAATGATGCTGTAAATAAAATCCAGGTAGTGGTAAATTCTATAGAACAGTTTGTTTCAATAAATTTTATCAACAACACAAAAGATTAAATGAGTCTTAGATATACCAATTAAGTGCAATGTGTAGAACTGATTTAAATCCAGTGAAACAAATAACATATAAAATAATTGGAAAATTGAACACTGTTTTACCAGCCTAGCAGGTCATATCACTCATTGCTCAGAAAGATGAACTCTGAACCATGAGCTTGTTCCCACAAAGAAAGCTTCTTTTTAGTAAGTGGCCTGACACTTTGGGAGAACAGTGGAGTTAACACACTAAAATGACCACCAGTAAGGGAGACTGTACAGGAAAGAATGGAAAGGGAGGATATGCAGGCCATGGGGAGGG